CGCCGAGTCTGGAGGTACGCTCAATGCCCGTAGACACTCCCCGCCACATCACTCTCTCCAGGCCATCATCATCATCATTTAGCAGATCCTTTGCAGAACGTCGCTCTCATCACAGTCTGCCTGAAAGAAACTCGGTCTCTTGTGCGTTCTCCCGCCTCATGTGCTTTCAAACTCAAGGAGTCACTTATATCCTGTGCCCATCTTCGTGTCGGTCGGCCCCTGCCCCTCCTTTCTGGTACCATGCATTCTGCTGTAATTTTTTTCCAATCCGTCGTGGCGCTCGATATAACCAAAATATTTCAGCTTCCGAGACAGGATGCTATTTATTAGCCAAGCTTCCTTGATGTTCAGATCTTTCAAGATGTCAGTATTTCTCCTCTTCTTTGTCCAAGATATTCTGAGAATCTTTCTATAGCTATATATCTATAGCTATATATCTTTCTATAGCTCTCCAGGTAAGGGTTTTCCAAATCTTTTATTTTATTGTTACCTTGTTCCACAGGCTAGAGATCACCTCTGCACCCACCCAAGTGGGGCCAGTTCAGCCAACCTATCTGGATGCTCATTCTCAAAACACGCCTGCAAAGCTGTGGCAAAATATCCATATAACTTTCAATATCTGCGACATCTAGATTGATGTGAGCCGTCCTCCTATGCAAGTTCTGCGAATCCGATGCTAGGACACATGTGTCTTTAAGTCCCCGTGTGGGTTTCAGGGTCTTTTACGAGGGAAACAAGAATATACCTACTGCCTCCCCAACAAGCATGTCGGAGGAGTCGACTAACTGGGGAAGGGGGTGGGTGCTTCCTTTAAAGTCAGAGTGCATCTGCCTGAGAGACAAGAAACCAACAGTCTGAATAAAAAAAGTCAGATCTGTAAGTCAGATTGTGCATGCAACATTTAAGTTCTGGTACAAAATTAAAGTTCATAGGTTGACGAGCAACAAGAACTTGCCGCTGGTGTTTACAGATGGGGATTATGTAGAAGAAAAGTGTGTCTACAAAAATTGGGGAAAAAAAAATAAACGTCCCTGGGTGGGCTTGAACCACCAACCTTTCGGTTAACAGCCGAACGCGCTAACCGATTGCGCCACAGAGACATCTGAAAGCGAGATAATTAGTAAACCTAACTATATTGAATATAATTTATTTAGACTACATCCTTTAATTTTAATGTGCTACTAAAGGCCTAAACTAACGTTATGGTTACATGTCCATATTATATTTCAGAAGAAATATCCATTTATAGCAGAAAATCTGCCTTGCCTATACATTTATTTGTTCTGTAATGTATTTTAAAGTTTCGTCAGCTTTTTATAATAACAAATTTCTTCAACCTTGACCCCAAGAAATGGCGGCATCCGTGGTCAAGTTTGACAACATTGGACAACACAGAACCGCTTAAGTATTAGCTGTAACTGTCTTCTGTCAGGTACTTATATGACAGCGTAAAAAATCAAATAATCTTTTATGCCATATCATAAAGTATACTTTATAGATTATTATTTCAAATATCTTGCACTACTGCGAATTAATAATTCGAGTACGACACCTTGACTTTCCGCTGCCTGCTTGGGGAAAAATAAAAATTAGTCTAGTAAGTGAAGTCGCATTTAGTCAAATTTTTAAAATGCCCTCTACACTAATAAAACCAGCACAGTTAGATAGCTGTAAACAATCTCTTTCCAACGGTACCTCATTTAGGCTTGTATGTTATTTCTGAGCTGAGATATGTAGGTTTTTGTGGCGATGAGATGTACAAAACAGCTGTGGAAAACTTGCGTCTCAGAAACAAGAAGTTTTATCTGCGCAACCAAACTGCGCACTTTCGTTTTGGCTTTGTTTTCATTAGACAAGATGGGAGACAATTTTTCTCAGACACAGCCATATAATAGCGATTGCCTGAAAAAATGTCACTGTAAATCGAACTAGCCACACTGAAAAGACAGAAATTTTATACACAAATGTAAAATTGGACGAAGAATTCAATTATAACTAGCATTGCCATGTATAGTAACAGTTAAAGCCTAAAGCCAACTTTGAATACTTATCGCTATTTTCAATCAAACTGATGTAACAGAAAAACAGAGGACGTCCGGCTGGCGAAGACATGCACTGTTAATCGGGTTCGTTCCCGCTGTTTTCAGCTATTCATAGCTGGTGAAAATCACACCAATCGCAAAATTTCATGAGAGATTAGGACCCATCCCGAAACCCCAGCCTACATTTCCCAAACAAGTTTCAAACGGTTTCCATGGTAACGGAAATTGCCAAAAAGACCGCAAATTGTCGAAACTGTAGTCGCTAAATAGATTGTACCCCACCAGGACATCAGAAAAGCGATAAACACACGATGACATAAAGTGCCACCATGTGGGTGAGGATCACCGGTGGAGAGGTTCAAGAGATCGCGTTCAGCCATTAGACCATATTTATGGCTGGGCTATATTGCGGCCCCTGGCAAGAGCCAGGGTAGGGCTTCAAAATAACAAAAAAATTGCATCCAACAAGGAGATGACTGGTTGATCTTAAAAAAAAAATGTTCCCTGTCTGTTGCAACTTCATTTTGCCTGAAGCACCCTGTATCTTTCACATACAGAGAGCAAGGCAAGTATGTGCTCATTCCCACAATTGGTGTATCCTATGTACGGCCCAGAATGACTTCTATACCTTTATTGTACCTGACTTCCAGCTTCTCTACTTGGCTGTGAGTTTTCCCAGACAATACTTCATCACTAAAGTAATTAGCTGCTGGTATAGTATGTGTAGAAATCTTTGTTCCATATCCGTTGATGCCATAATCTTTAGAGTATTACATCCCATTCTGATCTTTAACACCACCTCTTCCATAGGATACTTGAAATACAGCCATCTGTTAAAAGTGATTCCAAGATATTTGAGGGCATTTTTTCTGTTGATCTTATTGTCATTCATTGTAATGTTTGAGACCTCATCGCTAACAATATAATTTTTTTTAACCAACTCAACAATTCTGCCACTTTATCCGGGGTAATGATGGAACCTGTTTCCTCACACCACTTCCCTATCTGTGGTCTGTAGTTCTCTGGGTATTTCATTTGTTGTTTCTTCCCTGTCTGTAAACTAGGACTTCTAAGCTGACATTGAAGTTCTATCAGTACCTACTGTCTCTATTGCCGCTATCCTTCTTGTGTATGTATTTAAAAAAAAACATTAGTGAAAGGAGGATACCTGCAGAAGCCCTGGTGTGATGCACAGAGTTAAGAGCTCCGGGAGCCCAAACGAAATGTAAACCAACATTCATACATTCATAACGCTTAACGGACTGCTGTTGCTGCTGAAAGAGGCTTTGTGTAGTTAGAGACAGATATACAGGAGTGCTGGAGGATAGTTTGGGATAGTGGTAGGGAGAAACATCACATACAAATGATCCATCTAGTATGCCTGAACATCTGCATCTGGGCAAAGCACATGATGATGATGATACTTTGTAGAGAAAATACTACATGAAGTTAACCCTCTTAGCACGGACGGGCCGATTATCGGCCGGCGGATGTCTGGCCAAAAACACGGAACGGCCGATCATCGGCCCGATCGTGTTTCGTCTGGAACCGTTAAGAAATCTCCTATTTTGAAACACAAAGTGATTCATTTAAATTAACTGCTGTATCAGCTTTACACATGGCGACTTTCGAGTGTTTGGTATTGAAGTGAAAATTGTTGTTGAATTTTTTAGATAGTGACCTGAACCGCTAAAAGTATGTCTGACTCGTATGTTTCTGCCCCTAAACTTGATGTTGATAAAACATTTGAATCAAGTGATGACACTAATTCTGTTGATACTGATGCAGGATTTAGTGTTAGTAGTAATAGTGGGAATCAGATGGGGACTCTGTTGTGTTCAGACCACAGCCCAACCATGGCTCAGGGTATATCCACCCGAAGGTGTTCACACTCCGGCACATCCATTTCTTGTGCTGACTGATGGTGAAAAACACATGTCACCTAAAGATATTATTTCTGTTTCATATATATATATACCTGTTTTTGACTATTGAATTGCTTACAACATTTGCAAAAAGGCCAAAGATCAATAAAAAGATTTCAAATAAAAAGAAAATTTTGTTTTTAGTTTTATGTTTCAAGCATTGAAGTTAAAAATTCAAATTCATATTTTCTATTTTTAGATATGCAAATGAGATAATTTGCATATACATCAATTAATTTTAACGATATTGTGAAAATCATGAACTTCAATCTATATCCTTCAAATAGATATATTATTTCATGGGGGTCAGAATAACAGAAATCTGTCCAAAAAAAAAAGTAATAACCAAATTCACTGAAAAAATGCTCCGTGTTTTTGGCTAGACCTCTGAAAACTTCCCGTGCTAAAAGGGTTAATGAACATCCTCCCATATAGTTCTCTCTCTCCTTATCATTCACATTCAGAATGTTTACCACAGTGTAGGCATACTTTCTCTGTTTTATCTTTTATCCCCCATTGAAACATAAGTCATCAACCAACTAAGACAGGTTGTGCTGTTTATAAATATTGAGTTAATGTTTTATGATAAATAATTTTTCTTTGTCACTGGGGATGAATTTTTTAAACACTTTGGGACTTACTAGGTTGTTTTTTTTAATCACATTATCTATGCAGTGCAGTGTTATCATAGTCAACATCTGCAAACACATTTGGTAGTTCTGAGGTGCCTGGTTCTATTCAAACTGCATGCAGTTTAGCAGTTGATCGCTTTGCATTGATTGTGACAATGATACTGAGACCTGACTTTTGAGAAAGCAGTGGCAAACTAATAAATATAAAGTTGCCTATGAAAATCAAACAGCAAAAAACAAAACAAAAAATGCTGGATTTGATTCTGCAGCATATAGTAAATGATATGCAACTAACTATACAATGCAGTTATTTCTACCCCTGCAAATTTACTTCCACATTTGTACATTGCTGCGTAAATATATTACAGGCTGCTTTGGAATTTGAATACAGTCGCTTGCACATGTTTGTCAAGCTGAGGATTTCAAGATTTAGCACACTGGTCAAGGCAGTCCCTGAACAAATGGTCCGTGTGTTAAATGTTGCTGAAAAGAATGATGCCGCAAAGTCTCTCGCTAATATGCTGTCACAGGGACGCTGCAGGAAGGTAATACCAATCATGTTGTAGAGTCCAGTAAGTTAAACTTTGTACACCTTCAGCTGAACAGATTAGTTATCTGTACACCTTTAGCTGAGCAGACGTTATCCATACACCTTCAACAGAACAGACATTCATACACCTTCAGCTAAATAGACATTATCCATACACCTTCAACTGGGCAGACATTATCCATACACCTTCAGCAGAACAGACATTATCCATACACCTTCAGCAGAACAGACATTATCCACACCCCTTCAGCAGAACAGACATTATCCACACCCCTTCAGCAGAACAGACATTATCCACACCCCTTCAGCAGAACAGACATTATCCATACACCTTCAGCAGAACAGACATTATCTATAGATCTTCAGTAGAACACACATTATCCATACACCTTCAGCAGAACATACATTATCCATACAACTTCAGCAGAACAGACATTATCTATACACCTTCAGCAGAAAGGACATTTTCCATACACCTTCAGCAGAACAGACATTATCCATACACCTTCAGCAGAAAGGACATTTTCCATACACCTTCAGCAGAACAGACATTATCCATACACCTTCAGCAGAACAGACATTATCCATTCACCTTCAGCAGAACAGACATTATCCATACACCTTCAGCAGAAAGGACATTTTCCATACACCTTCAGCAGAACAGACATTATCCATACACCTTCAGCAGAACAGACATTATCCATACACCTTCAGCAGAACAGACATTATCCATACACCTTCTGCAGAACATACATTATCCACACCCCTTCAGCAGAACAGACATTATCCATACCCCTTCAGCAGAACAGACATTATCCATACACCTTCAGCAGAACAGACATTATCCATACCCCTTCAGCAGAACAGACATTATCCATACACCTTCTGCAGAACATACATTATCCACACCCCTTCAGCAGAACATACATTATCCATACACCTTCAGCAGAACAGACATTATCCATACACCTTCAGCAGAACATACATTATCCATACACCTTCAGCAGAACAGACATTATCCATACACCTTCAGCAGAAAGGACATTTTTCATACACCTTCAGCAGAACAGACATTACCCAAACACCTTCTGCAGAAAAGACATTATCCATACACCTTCAACAGAACAGACATTATCCATGCACCTTCTGCAGAAAAGTTATTATCCATACACCTTAAACAGAGCAGACATTATCCATACACCTTTAGCATTAATCCTTTATTAGATATGGAAGAAGGCGACTGTGCAAGAAAGAGAAAATCTGGAGTGTATTACTGTAGACTTTGACTCCTGTAGTGAAATGTACAGTGAAAAATGGAATTAATATTCAGTGGAATTAATAAACAAGCCGATCAATATCTTGAGGCCTCGTAGATGTGGTTTTACAAAATAATGATCGAAGACAACTTATCACAAACATCATAAATAGTCATAATTTTTTGGTCATGTTACGAGAAGAGGGAAAATTTGAGGACTTCAATGAACTTCAAGTCCTCAGAATGCTAAAGAAGAAGTAGAAATGGACGAAGAAGAAGAACAACAACAACAATTAGGAATGCATGAAAGAAAATTGTTTGGCATGTTTAATGAAAGTAATTACTGGTATCTCTGTTTCCCCAGCGAGAAGGTTTCTCCAAGTTCAACAAAATCTATGAATTTGAGTACAGGCTGATGAACCAGCAAGTCACCATGGCAATGACCTCTGTCTCTGGACATCTCTTAGGCCTGGATTTTGTTGGGACATTTAAGAAATGGTGACTGTTTAGTTTCATTGTGTGTGCTTGAGTTGCTCAACTGTTTATGATGTCTTTATTATTTGTTATTTTGTCATATTATAATATGGTATAATATTTGTCATTACTGAACATTGCACATTTCCATGCATGCAGAGACCTCCAGTGCAGAGCCACCCAAAGTTGCCTCTGCTGATTGTTTCCGTGAGAAGTTGATTACATTGTCTCCTATATTGACTTTGAAGTAATTTAATTCCAGATGTAGTAAACCTAATGGGCACAGAGATAGCTAGAGATAGCTGGCTAAGAGCTTCAGGGAGACCAGACACACACACAAAGAAGAGAAATACAGATATAGATGAAAAGGATGCAAGTTGGTTGATTGTGTGTGCTCTGTGGAGGGAAAATAGCAGAAAAGAGTGTGATCAAATAGTAGAATTTGCTCAAAAACCCAGACCAAAATTCAGGTTATGGTGATCATATGAGTGTGAACCGTCATACCCCATGCTAACTGGATGCAGCTGTATAGATTTTGTGTTGCTGGTTGCTAGTAGCTAATGCTAACTTAAGGCAACAGTATAGATTCCTATGTTGCCAGTATTCCACCCTGACTGGGTGCAGCTGTAGATATCCCTATGTTGCCAGTATTCCACCCTGACTGGGTGTAGCTGTAGATATTCCTATGGTGCCAGTATTCCACCCTGACTGGGTGCAGCTGTAGATATTCCTGTGTTGCCAGTATTCCACCCTGACTGGGTGCAGCTGTAGATATTCCTATGTTGCTAGAAGCTTATGCTAACTGGATCCAGTTGCACATATTCTTTTGTTGCTAGGGGCCCATGCTAACTGGGTGCAACTGTAGATTCTTGTGTTGCTAGTAACCCTTGCTAAGAGGATGTGGTGATACAAACATTAGTCTCCCCATTTTTTCATTGTTACACACTAGCTCACTTCTGATTGGTTGACTTTGAGCCACACTACCTTGCCAAAAGGTTACAGGGGTTTCCCGCAATGCCATTGATATCGGGTGTTGTATATTTCAGCACGCCAGCGCTTTTAACACTCCAAAAACATCGACAAACTGGGTCTAACACAAACACCTTTAGACAGTGAAGAAACCTATGTCACAAACATTCTCTTTCTGGGAATAAAAACATAAATGCAAGACAACCCAGAAAGCAAACAACAGAGCGGCACACCCGTAACCTGCAAGAAAGTAGACCAGCCCAAAAAACTTATGAATGGAACGTGACCTGCTTAGTTTGGGGAAACTAACATTTGTATAACAGAGGATGTAACTATAGATTCTTATGTAGCTGAGGCTAACTGGATGCAACTACAGATTGTTTTGTTACTAACAGACTAATTAGGGGTTTGCCAAAATCAGATGCATTGAGCCGAAAAGTGCAGATATCACAGCCTGGCTGTAATTCTCATCAGAATGTTCCCATGGTATTCCCATGCATGCTCATTCCTCTGATGCAGCAGCCATCTCAGTGTACTTCTACTAACTTCCCAAAAGTAGCTAGATACAGTGCTTCCTGTCTTGACCTTGAAGGCAAATAGACATGCTTCACCAGGTTTTACTTCAGGCCTTGCATTAGCATCATAAAACATTTTCTTCAAAAACAGATTGACTCTGTTTGCTTGCTTATTTCCAGCAGCACTAACCAGCTTGTCGTGTTATCATTTCGTATATTTTCTTCCTTGAGGGTTCTGGGGCCGTGTTGTGGGTGAAACAAGAATAGTCCCACTGCCTCCTAACAAGCATGTCATAGGAGTAGTCTAATTGAGAGCATCCTTCAGAGTGAGAGTGCCACTGCCTGAGAAGCAAGGAACTAACAGTCTGCATACAGATAAAACAGATCTGCAGTAACAGATCTGCACACAACACTCAGATTCTAGAACAAGTCTAAAGTGGATAACCAGAACTTTCTACCGGAGTTTATAGCCGGTGAATGCGAAGAAGAAGAGGTGCTATTTTGATTTCTTCTTTGACTAATTTACGTTTTTCCTGTCTACAGGAACAGCTGTAACCCTGTGGATTTGTTTAGTGTTCCAGTGGAGAAGTACTGCCCTCCTAATTATCTGGATATAAAGGTATGTATAAGCTACGGAGTCTTGGCTGCAGAATGATTTTTATAGATTGTAAAGAGCTTTTTGATGTGGGGTGGATCTCCTGCTGTGATATTGAGTAGTTGGTTCTTTTGCAATGTAGAGTGGTTCTCTTTTGATTTTGAGCGGTTCTCTTATGATATAGCGGTTCTTTTGTGATGTTGAGATGTTCTCTTTTGATTTTGAGTGGTTCTCTTATGATACAGAGTGGTTCTTTTGTGATGTTGAGAGGTTCTCTTTTGATTTTGAGTGGTTCTCTTATGATATAGAGTGGTTCTTTTGTGATGTTGAGAGGTTCTCTTTTGATTTTAAGTGGTTCTCTTGATATAGAGTGGTTCTTTTGTGATGTTGAGTGGTTTTCTTGTGATGTAAAGTGGTTCTCTTGTGATGTAGAATGGTTCTCTTATGATGTTGAGTGGTTCTCTTGTGATGTAGAATGGTTCTCTTATGATGTAGGGTGGTTGGCTCTCTTGTGATGTAGAGTGGTTTTCTTGTGATGTAGAGCGGTTCTCTTGTGATGTAGGGTGGTTCTGTTGTGATGTAGGGTGATTATCTTGTGGTGTAGAGTGATTGGTTTTCTTGTGATGTAGGATTGTTCTTTTGTGATGTTGGGTGGGTATCTTGTGAGTGGTTGGTTCTGTTGTTATGTAGAGTGTTTCTTTTGTGATGTGGAATGGTTGGTTTTCTAGTGATATAGTAGAGTGGTTCTCTTGTGCAGATGTTTTACATGTCTGATTGTTAATGGCTTGCTCTAATCCTAGCAAGAACATTGTACTCATTCAGATTAAACTTGTAAGCTCGTTGTGGTGTGTGCACAATTTGAGTGCTAGTAATCTACCATCATAATTTAATTATCTTGCACATTTCATGGTCTGCAGCAGTTTTCATCACATTTTCTGATCTCAGACTTTAAAATGTAAGAAGCTATTAACAAACGGAATATTTAAATAATGGACAATACAAAAGATGGAATCAGAGCATTTAGAACAACCTTGGAGAAATGAAAACCAACTTACACAGAGCATTATAAAGGGCACACAGGTGATTCTTTTATCTACACGTATCACTTTGCTGAGATAGCTGAGGAAGAGAAAATAAACACAACTGGGTTCCCAGATTTGTTCCTTCACATAATCTACAACAGGCGAAAGAATAATTAAAGTTCACTACTTAAGAATAGGTCAGTTGCTGGATGCATGATGAGATAATTAGCTGGCTAGCCGCTTTCATGGATAGTTATGATTTCTGTTCAACATTTGTATCCTTCAGAGAACACTAGAGCAGGAGGTCAGAGGGTGTCAGTCTCTCATCATATGGACAGATTGTGATCGGGAAGGAGAAAATATTGGTTTTGAAGTTATTCAAGTTTGCCAAGCAGGTTTGAACCATTTTCTTGTTTTTCTCATTCATTTTATCACATTTTCCTTATGTAATGATTTGAGCTTCACGATCTCAGCCACCTGGTGGTCATAGGATAGATTAGATTTTTACAGTATTTAGATTACCAGGTGCTGTTTTAACTGTAATTACAGACTGAAACTAGTTTACAAGTTAATTCTTCTTCCAGAAGTAGGAAGTTACAAACGTAGGCTAACTTACCAGTTAATTCTTCTTCCAGATGTAGGAAGTTACAAACTTAGGCTAGCTTACCAGTTAATTCTTCTTCCAAAAGTAGAAAGTTACAAACTTAGGCTAGCTTACTAGTTAATTCTTGTTCCAGCTGTATGAAGTTACATATTTAAGTTAGTATGTGAGTTAATTCTTGTTGTAACTGTGACGTTATGTTTTTTTTCTATCCCCTTGTCGGTTCTTGGGCCTCATTGTGGAGAAAACGAAAATAGACCCTCTGTCTCCCCAACAAGCATTTCATAAGAGTCAACTTATTGGCGGCTTTCTTTGAAGTCTAAGAGGCTAGAAAACAACAGTCTTCATACAAATAAGTCAGATCTGTGAAACAGAGGTGCACACAACACTCAGGTTCTGAAACAAGTCTAAAGTCCAGAGGTAGTTGAACAACCAGAACTTTACAGAAGTTTACAGCTGGTGAACTCGATGGAGAAGATTTTTTTTACACTAGCATAGAATGAGTTTTCTTTCCGCCAGGTATTAACCATATATGTTTTGTTATTGTATTCCTTTGTTTTCAGTCTGTATTCCATTTCTGCTATTCGTTAACTATTTAAATGAAATCATGTAACATAAGTGTGTGCACAACAGTGTTTCATTTACTTCCCCAGTGAAACCAAATATCAAAGTCTATAGAGCCAAGTTTTCAGAGATCACCCCACAGTAAGTGTATTCATTATTTTATCTCTGTCTTTTAATCTGTCATGTTAGTCATCATCATCCTGTTTTGTCATTATATGGCCCATAGGTCTCACAACCCTTCCAACATTCCTTCCTATCCTGTACAATTCTTTCAGTTATCATGCATAGAAACCAGTTCAACACCCCTTGGCCTTTCTCAACAACGCTCTTCCTAGCATTTCTCTTGCCACATCATACTGTTGAATTAAGAATTGACATCACAGCACTCGGGACACCCCAATAAGCTCTCCATCTTCAGCCTCATACTGTGTGGTTTTCTATTTAATACACTATATAAATGTTTCATTCCTTTCTAAATTTCATATCTACAGCTAAATCAAAAGAAATAATTAGCAGTTAATAAATATAAAATTATATAAATTATACTGAGTTATCAGGAAAACCATTAACTTACTGCAGTGTCTTTCAATGTATAATATTTGTTCAGAGTTGAAATAAATCTTTTGTAAACTAATAACACAAATATTGCGTAACTGTTTGTAAACTTCATTTGTGCAGGGCTGTAGCGAGGGCAGTGAACAATTTAATAGCACCAGATGCCAGGGTGAATGCAGCTGTTGATGTGCGGCAAGAGCTGGATCTTCGGATAGGTAATCTCTTATGTGGCTGAGGTAAAACCGAAGTGGAGGGGATTAGTTTCATTGCATAGGCTGTATCCCATATAACTCAGTCTCCTTGCAGATAATGGCTGACTCCCTGCCGAGTAACAATCCACAGGGATCTCTGTAAAGACTGGTTAAGTTGATAGTTAAGTTTATTGGTTGTAGTATTTGATTCAAAATGTTGTTGAGTGGCTGTGACATTTGTATATCTTATAGAATCATTTATTTTTTTTTTCAGAATTACAGTTTTTGATGATCTGAAAAAATTGTCTTTGAAAGTTCGAATTCTTGGCAGTTTATTCTTCAGTAATATGTCAGCTTTCTCTAAAAATCTATTTGTATTGAAAATCTCACACTGCTGGCATTAACAAGATTTCTTAATATCAGCAATTTCATCTTGCTTCTCTTGTCCCTCCATTGAACTGTAGTTTTTATATTTGGATTAGAAATGGCATTTCCTTTTAAATTCTGTAATACTTGAAACATTCTCTTTACAAATTAAATGCACATATATATCGTTATATAATCTGTAGCCCATCTTTCCTGGAAATGTCAATATTTTTTAGCCATTTTCCATTGGTTTTTTTTCTTGACGTTGCCATTGTGTCACTAACTTGTGTTAATTGGTTACCAACTTTGAATGTCTTCATTTGTGTGCCATGGAAAGTGTGGGTTTGTGGGGTTTTTCTTTTTTTTGTGTGGTATGAATGTGTGTGTGTGTGTACGTCTGTAATCTATGTACTATTCATGTCCACATTACGATCCCATTCTCAGACCAACCAAAGTCAAGAAAGATTACCGCACTCTTTTGGTCTATAAACTTGCAGTCCAGAAAAAAAAAAACTGTCATTGCCTTATATAATTAAAGTTCACCGACAGACACATTTTCCAATGTCTGAGTTTGTCCACAAGACGTATTTTACTGGCAGGATCAAATTTTTCGAGTTATCAGTGTTTAGGTTATCACCTTTTTAGATGTTTATATTTTGATTTTTTCTTTCTGTATACAAATGTCTTTGTGTTCTGCTATTTTATGAACTCAAAGGCTATATTATGTAATTTGATACCACCCTCACGGGCCAGTACAAATTACTTGGTGAATGAGTTTTGGCCCATAGGCTAGTTTGCCAACCCCTGGTTTAAAATCTCTGTAAAGGTTCAACTACACACCACACACACCCCTGCAGAAGAATATGCTTTGACTACATCTAGTGTTATTTTTCATATCGTTTACTGAAGTGAATTAGGAAAAAAAAATGTATAGCTAACACACACCCCTGCAGAAGATTATGCTTTGACTACATCTAGTGTAATTTTTCATATCGTTTACTGAAGTGAATTAGGAAAAAAAATGTATAACTAACTGATGACAGTATTTCATAATTATTCTTTGTCTCTTGCAGGTGCAGCTTTCACACGCTTTCAAACTGTTCGATTGCAGAAGATCTTCCCGCAAGCATTAGCGGAGCAGCTGGTCAGTTACGGCAGCTGTCAGTTCCCAACTCTGGGTTTTGTTGTAGAGAGATATAAACAGGTGCAGGAGTTCATTCCAGAACCATTTTGGAAACTGAAAGGTGAGCAGGGAAATATGTTCTTAAGGTTATCTTTCACTCGTGGTTTAGCATAATGTCTTACACTCAGGGTGTATCTAACCTTCTATCTTGCACTCAGGGTGTTGCCTTCTGTCTTGCCCTCAGGGTGTGTATAGCATTCTATCTTACACTTAGGGTGTTGCCTTCTATCTTACACTCAGGTTGTATGTAGCCTTCTATCTTACACTTAGGGTGTTGACTTCTGTCTTACACTCAGGATGTGTATAGCCTTCTATCTTGCACTCAGGGTGTATATTGCCTTCTGTTTTACACTCAGGGTTATGTTGCCTTCCATCTTAAACTCAGGGTGTGTATAGCCTTCTGTCTTACACTCAGGGTGTTGCCTTCTGTCTTACACTTAGGGTATTGCCTTCTATCCATCTTACACTCAGGCCGAAGCCTTCTGTCTTACACTCACTGTGTAGCCTCCCATCTTACACTCAGGGTTTAGTCTTCAATCTTACACTCAAGGTGTATATTTTCATCTTGTACCTCATGGTATAGCCTACCATTTTACACTCATGGTTTATTTAGCCTTGTGTTTTACACTCAAGGTGTAGCCTTCCGTCTTGCACCTCCTGGTATAGCTTACCATCTTACACTCAGGGTGTATATAGCCTTGTGTTTTACACTCAAGGTGTAGCCTTCCGTCTTGCACTTCCTGGTATAGCTTACCATCTTACACTCATGGTGTATATAGCCTTGTGTTTTACACTCAAGGTGTAGCCTTCCATCTTGCACCTCCTGGTATAGCTTACCATCTTCAGGGTGTATATAGCCTTGTGTTTTACACTAAAGGTGTAGCCTTCCATCTTGCACCTCCTGGTATAGCTTACCATCTTACACTTAGGGTGTATATAGCCTTGTGTCTTACACTCAGGGTGTAGCCTTCCATCTTGCACCTCCTGGTATAGCCTACCATCTTACACTCAGGGTGTATATAGCCTTGTGTTTTACACTCAAGGTGTAGCCTTCCATCTTGCACCTCATCGTATAGCCTACCATCTCACACTCAGGATGTATATAGCCTTCTGTTTTACACTCAGGGTGTAGCCTTCCATCTTGCACTGAGGGTGTAATTAGTCGGCTTTTACGACATGCTTATTAAAAGGTGCAGTGTGTCTATTCTTTTTCCCCCTGATGGAACCCCAGAATCCACACTTGAAGCAGTGACTACCAGCTGTGTAGGTTAAGATTTTTATGTTTGTTACTGCTAGTATCAAATCTCCACTCCGTACTAGAAAAAAAAATGTGTTGTTGTGACCAAATCACGTCTCTTTGCTCATCGTGGTTGTGTCAGCTAAAACCCCTGTTTTCATAGTCAAAGGGGTGGAAAGCAGTTAGTTTTTTGTTATATGTTCAGTTAGGGATTAAAGATTCACTGTAAGACTCTGTTTTCCAAAATTTTTTATAAGGCTTCATCTCTTTTAGTTTTGCTCCAGGCTTCAGAGCCATATAAAATGACTGGTCTTTTCAACATTTTATTTATTTTGATCTTGGTGTTGCGAGATGGAGACTTTGACTTTAGCAGATGTTGAAAGGCATAGTATACTTTATTTCCAGATTGTATTATTTCAGCATTTTGTAGCAGTTGAAGTTTGCACCCAAGTACTTATACGTTTCTGTTTGTTTGATTTTCATATTATTAACTTGTATTTTGCCAGAGTTTATATCCTTTCCTTGTCCAAAAGGATAAATTCTTTCGGCACAAAATTAACTATAATGCTGGGTACAGAGACCACTTGGTCAGTGTGTGTTACTTGTCAGTATTTAAACAAAAAAAATTATTTGTGTTATGTTGTCATTATTTATTACATGGCTGCAATTATTTACTACATGGCAGTCATTATTTGTTACATGGTAGTCATTATTTTTTACGTGGTAACATTATTCAATACATGGCAGTCAGTATTTGTTACATGATAGTCATTTGTTACATGACAGTCATTAATTGTTACATTATAGTCATTATGTGTTATGGTAGTCATTATTTGTTACATGTAACCTTCTGTCCACAGTAACTCATAAGCATGATGATGTGAAGTCAGAGTTTTCTTGGAAGAGGTGACTATATCTGTTACAGATGAGACTGTTAATGATTAATTGGCTGTTGTTTTGATTTTTGGTTAACCCTTTGGAGATGACGCAGCCGAAATATCGGCCCAACACAAAGTAGCCAGAAGGATGACAGGGCCGATTAGTTGGCCCTATGTAATGAAGCCTTGAGATTGGCTGGCAGGTTTTCGTACCAGCCATCAGATTGGTTCTCACATTTCTTGCACATGTGGGCTGTTCACTGACGGCTTTTGAGAAAGTTTGATGTGTTCTGTAATTTTTTATCCATTTTTTGTGGGGCTACCTGTGCCGAATAGTGGCGAAAAGGACTGTTGAGTCATAGCAACTGAAACATAGCTGGAGGCAGGAGAATGAGTAGAACCATGTGCCAAAAGTGTCTGAAGGACCTCTAATGGCCTTACTTCCCAAAGCACAAGTACTAGGACTTATTCAAGCTTAATCCATTGAAAAATTCACCCAAAATTATTGGGTTAGTCATGTTTGTTCCAAAGTTGAAAAAAAAATTGCTTGCATAAATTATGCAAATCATAATACCTAATTTGAATAAATATTGAGACTTCAGTTTGATTCATAAATATTCTGTTAGCTCATTCAATTTCCTACATGAATATATATAGTTTTGTATATGTTAATTAAACGCTTTATTTTTTATAATTTGTGTGTGTATAAACTATAAGAATCTCCTCCTGAAGGCTTCGTCTTTTTGGCACTGAAACTCCAACTCCACCTGAAATTCTCATGGTCTGCCTGCAAGAAAATGTCTCTCGCTAGCTCTCCCGTCTCGTGCACTTTCATATTCAAGGAGTTACTAATAATAATTAGGGATGCTAGTAAAGTTTTATATTTTGTTTTTACTTACGAAATCATAACAGCTAGATAAAGATTAAAATTACAAATCCAATGGTACCTCATTTAAGCCTGTAAGTCGATTCTAAGCGGAGATATTAACATTTTAGTGGTGGACACCACGACAGAAAAATTGTAGTGGAAATGGATAAACCATGGCTTCCCAGCTGCGACTCAGTAAGATGAATTGACTCAATGTTTGATTTTACGGCCTTTTTTGTTTCTGAACGAATCCCTTAGCAACCATATATTGCTGGAGGCGGGACAGTTAGACCTAACTGTATATGCATGTTTTAAAAACATATAATACATTATGCAATTAACTAACATATGAAAATGGTCGCCAGCTCACTATTTTCAAGCAAAACATTATACCTGTATGGTTATCTGTCAGCGAGCCTGGCGAAATGCATATCAAATTGTGCGTCCCGACAAGGTGAACACAAAGATCATAAAAATTTACCAAGGTCAGTCGACGTGACCTAATTAACATATGAAAATGGCGCCAGCTCACTATTTTCAAGCAAAACATTATACCTGGCAGTATGTTTTTGAACAAAATTGACGTATGAATGTGAATGTCTTTACAACACGAAGCACCTTAAAGAATCAACTAGTCATAATGCCACAGTGAGAAATGAATGATAACGTGCATACATGAGGGATAACAATAAATAGCACTAATGTTCTTACATTTGAAAAAAAATGGGGGGGGGGGGGGGAATTGAGATAGATACATATGAAATGTAGACAGACAGACAGGGACAGCATGGATGATTGAAATACCGTGGGATTTTGATGTGATTATACATTCACTACAGCTTCACACATGCTGCTGCTATATATATAAAGCCACTATGGAGTCATCCATCTGGCAGGTGGAAGAGTACAACAAGGATCATTGTTATACAGTCTGAGTGTTGTTTTCATATACATATCACTGCTTCTCTCTTGTTGTGTAGGAGTAAATACGACAAAAGCCTAGGCATACACTAATAACAGAGACAGCATGGATGATTGATATACCGTGGGATTTTGATGTGATTATACATTCGCCACAGCTTCTCTGAAAACAACAGCTACTGTGTAATAAAAAAATTATTGTAGTATCCATGTTTGCCCAGCATCCAAGAGCATAATATTTACACTGGTATGCATTATGACCAGTCGACACACAGAGGACTGATCTTAGTGAATATAAAATCACTCAGAGACAGCTTAAAATTATATGGGATCTGAGCAAATTGAATGCATGAGACAGCAGAGCCAGGGAATACCACAGGAGAGGACATACAGTGGGGATAGCAACAAGTCGAAAGACAGAGACAGGTAAAAAATGAAAAGAGGCAGTGACCCAGAGAATAACAGTCAGGAAAAAGTCACACACTAAAAATGAATATAAAATAAAGTTACCAATACAATATACAATAAGCTAACTCACTGATACATTGATAAACACTCAAAACCATGTGATGTGTTGCAGCACAAAACAAATGACACCATATATCAAAATTAGGTGTACCTTCAGTATTTGTTAAACCTGCCAGTAAAGCAACCAAGCTCACTTTTGAAATGCCTTTTCCATATAATACCAGCCCGTGAGACAGTGTGAGCTCAACAGCTCTTTTATAATAAATCAAAACCAATAATAATAACCTTCTTATTCATGTAAGACATACTAATGGACGATGGAAACACTGACCACAAGTACGTACAATTTTACAAAAATAATAAATTCTCCTGTGCGAAGTCGACTAAAAACTGTTTAACATTCATACTACAAAAGTCACTTGATGGCTCATCATGTTCTCTCCAGTACCACAAATCAATAACTTTCTTACATTTATCTTTTGTTTGTGTGGTTTCCACATTCCTCACCATCTCAAAGTAAACACAGTCCTGGCCCTCTTGATGCCAGACATGTCGCAGTATTACATTTGATAAACATGAAATATCAGTTAAAAACCTCTCTAAATGAATTTTGGACTTACTATCTAAATCATTAAAGATTTTCAACTGTAGCAATGCAGGAACTAACCCTATCTGAGCTACTGCAGCCTTCAGCTCCTTCTCCTAAGCATCTCTGCAAGCTTTATAATTTTTAAGTAAAGCCACCCTCTCATTGCCTTGCTCTCTTTCACATAGCTGTCTAACCCTCATTGCCTGTTTCAAAGCAAAATCAACAAATTGCTGCAGCTGATTATTTGGAAGGGAGTCTAGCCAGACCAATGTGTGATTTTTTGTAGCCTTTGTCTTCGCTTCACTTGTAATAAACACAATTATACTCTTGTTTTAGATTAGGTTTTATATGCTTTGTTCTTAAAAAAAAATGTTGAATTCAGTGCCAAAATTTGTGAAATTCGTGATCAAGATATGGCAGGTAAAAATATCTCCAACATAAAACTCTGTAAGCTCTAAATAATGACAAACACATGAAAACATGGTACAATGTTTGTGGATGTTTAAAAAGTAACTCACATAACATTGTCAATTTACTAAGCATCCTAAGTTAATTACTAAAGAATCATCTTACCAATGATGACCTAAATTAATTATTGGGATTTGGGGGTGATCAGGCAAAAATATCTCCAACAGAGAATACGAAGGGCTCTAAATAATGACAGATGCATGAACAAATGCTACAATGGTTGTGGATTTAAAAAAAATGATTAAAATAACGTTAGCTAATTAATAATTATTTTAAGTTAATTATAAAGCGGGAAAAACGGTCTCATAGTGCAAACATATTGGATTTAAAGCAAAAACAGTGATGCCACTAAACAATTTTTTTAAACATGTGCTGTATTGCCAATCTTTGTGAAATTTCCCACACTTATATAAAAATTAACGCAGAATTAAAAAATACAACACACATTGCTGTAATCTGGCTAATTAAGAAGATATTTACAAAATTACTTACCGTTATTGGATTTAAAGCGAAAACAGTGATGCCACTAATCTATTTTTTTAAACATGTGCTGTATTGCCAATCTTTGTAAAATTTCCCACACTTATATAAAAATTAACGCAGAATTCAAAAATACAACACACATTGCGGTAATCTGGCTAATTAAGAAGATATTTACGAAATTACTTACCCTTAATTCACTGCGTGCTGCCCCCCAAAAAATCGATTTATTTTATACGCGTCAAAACCATCTCAGGTCAAAGTCTGGCATCTCTCCAATAACTCCTAATAACTTCCGATTTTATCTTTCACGTAAAGAGCACAGAAAAATAATTTCTCAGTAACTAACAATTCGTTTTGCATTTTCGGGTCGCAGTTGTGTCTATAGTTACCGACGCAAATGTATAGCAAAATAAACGAAACAAAACGACCCAATGCTATACCTATAATAATTCAGCTTCCGAGACAAGATGCTGTTTATTAGCCAATCTTCCTTGATGTTCAGGTCTTTTAAAGCGTCATTATTTCTTCTCTTTATCCATAGTATTCTGAGAATCTTTCTATACTATTTCAGCTAAAAAAAACCCCCCCCCCCCCCCCCCCTCTCCCGCCTTTTTTTTAAGGACTATTGGGAGATAATCCCTGACTCACCACCATACGTTGCTACAGGGAATTTTTAATTAACTAACAGAAGCATTTTGAGAGGTTTCCTTTGTGCTAAAGGCTCTTTTAGAGCTTAAATGACGTAAAGATCAAAACCTATTCTTGAATTTAAAGAAAACAAAAATAATATCCACATACAAAACTGACTGTCGCCCAAAAATAACAATAAATGATGAAGAAATTGAACATGTCACAGACCTTGAATATCTAGGCTCCATAATACATAAAAATGGAGACTTTTTGACAGAAGTAAAAAGGAGGATGTATATAGCAGTACAAAGATTAAACAGCATTAAAAGTCTATAGTTAAGCACCAGCAAGGAAATCAAAATTTTGGGAGCAGGCATCTTCCTTTTAGCGCAACATACAGATGTGAGTCATGGACTAACTCTCAGTCCTTGAGAAAGAAAATAGGGGCCTTTGAGCTGAAATGCTATAGAAAGTGCACGAGGCAGGAGAGCTGGCTACATGATGATGATGTTGAATGCAGACATGTTTCACCACCTGCACTAGTTCATCGGGACCAGGATACTGTTGATCACCATCGTAGTCCTCAAAACAGATTGTTTATAGTAAGCTTCTGCAGTGAAGATTGGATTGATGTTTCTTTTGAAGTCATTATGCCCAAGACTTGAGGTGCAATTAGACTACAGACAATATGCTAGGTCTGAAAAATGGATGTACACACATCACTCAAGACCTCCTGGAACAAGAACACAGTTTAGCCACTTGATACAAACAGTATATATTGAAAATAATTGCAAATTTAACAAAGCTGTGTTTGTATATATCAGAAATGTTCACTGAGAATAAGTAAGATTGTATAAGCCATTACAAATATGTTATTTCTTTTTTCATAAACAGGAACCGCCTTTTTAACTTTTTAGCTTGCCAGGTGCTCTATGACCAGTGTGTTGAGGTAAGTTAAATTTGCAGTTAATGGAATAATTTTTGTCAAATTCATTTGAGTCTAGAAAATTTTTTTACTTATGTAAACACAGTCTGATGGTTTCCATGCGACTTATTTTGTCGAAAAGATCAAAGGTGTAAATGGTCCGACCATATCAAGATATGTTCAGGATACAGCTTAGGAGTGGGCAACTCCAGTTGTTTGGATTTTCAGGAATATTGTGTTCTTTAATGTTGTTTCCTCATTTGGACCCATGGAGTTCCAGCGATTGTTGATTGTATTTGTTTCTGTCCAGAACCCTCTAGCAACAGTTGTTGATGTAAAGAGCAAGAGTAAGAGCAAGTGGAGGCCAGTAGCCCTGGATACTGTGGTATGTGTCAATACTTATGTGTCTTCTAGCTTTTTTGTGTGATGTATATGAATGGACAGGGTGTTAAAAGGAGAGAGGATTTACTTTATTACCCTGGATTTTATCCCATATGGTTCAATCTCTCCCAGCAGAGATAATAATAATCTATGCCAAAGCATATATAACTCAGTATCATTAAACACAATGTAATATTTTCAAATTAAAAAAAATAGGTGGTAGTGATAGTTGTTATTTGGGAATAATCTGTATATGAGTTAACTCCTTTGATGTCTAAAACCCTAGTTTTGGGAAGGGCTTGCATCTTTCAGCTGTGGCACTTCACATCAAGAAAACTTTTTTTTGGGGGGGTCTGTATTGTCTCCACTTTGTAGCTTGGCTAGAGTGCACTCACTGTTGTCTTTAGGAATATTGTCATGACTGTGGCCCCAATATCTTCCATGGTGCTTATACTGTCTGAAAACCACCAAAATGGTTTAAAAAAATCTCTGCTGAGGTAATTGAACTCTTGTACTGGAGCATCATAAAATTGTTCAACACATTCACTAATCATTAAGCCACAGTGCTGCATAACTTCATGTCTGTAGAGACATAATAGTATATAACATGTCCTGATTCAGGTATTAGGTCTCAGGTCATACTTCATTGTCAACAGACTCCCAACTCGATGTCCAGAGGGAAGGTAACAAGGAAGAAATTATCCATGTCTTCATTTCTTCTCCTAATTACAGTTGCTCTCTTTGATGATTTGAGTTCTTATAAGGTCTTCTCCTTAGTGTCATACAACTTGAAGTTGGGTGAATTAGTTAAAGACCTTCTGCTTCAATGAAGAATTAAGGGTGAAGGAAGAATTTATTTTAGAACTGACTGTTGCATTTATTGATATTGACTTTCTGAAGTTATCTAAATGGGAATTTTAACTTTTCACTCTTGCTTCTTGTCTGCAGGAAATGGAGAAGCTGTCCTCAAGAAAACTGAAGATCAGTGCTAAAGAAACAATGAAGATTGCAGAAAAACTGTACACCCAGGGCTTCATTAGTTATCCCAGAACAGAAACTAACATTTTTCCCAAGGATCTAGACTTAGTTTCTCTTGTAGAAGAGCAAACAAGGGATCCAGATTGGGGAGGTATGATCTCAAGTTTGTAGCTGTAATGAAAAATAACGGATGCATCTGCTCATTAACTATAAACTTTAGGAGGTTTTGAAGCAGATGCCCAGAAAATATCCACTATAAAAAGTCATCGTGTACAATTTTTTTTTTCAGATAAGCTAAATACACAGTTGACGTGGTCATGGTGATGTCCAGATTTTTAGTATGCTCCAACCAAATGTAAAGTGTAAGGGAACACATCACATGAATGGAAGGGTTGCAGTGAGGATACCATGACATGTTGCTTGTTTCACAGGGCTGTAAGTGATCAAGGAAGGGAGTCAAGTATTTGCAGTGTTCCTTTTTGCACACTGCAGCAGATGCTTTTGTATTGCCAAAATGAAACAAACTAAATATTGTGCTCCTTTAGATTATTTCTTTGTCAGTGGTCTCTGCTGCCTTTGTAGGCAGTCTAACTGAAGGTAAATAGACAAACATCCGGTTTATCTGACATAGACACACATTGAATCCTTGCTAGTGAGACATTTTATATTCTGTATAAAGGACCCTTTTCCATACCTTCAGATGTATTAGGCATATAAGACTAGACCTATATTTTGTATGCCAGTTGGCACTCTGGGTGATGTGGTCAGCGTCACACTGGCCACCTTTGCTTCCCATGACTTTTGCCTGGAACCCTTTTAAGGCTGGGTAGACCTGGGAGCCAAGGTAAATTTTTTTTGTTGGAAGGGAAAAAATATGGCTGCATTCAGATTTGAACCCATGACCATCTTTTAGCTGCTGCACCACAGCGACTTCCATATGCTGTAAAGCAAGCAGCCACCTTGATTTGATCCTTGTGGGGAGTGGTGTTCCCATGCAAGCTACAAACATCTGCGGCAGTAGGTTTGATTTACTGCTACTCTGCCATAGGGAAGCTGCTACACCAATGTTGATGCTACAAGTGGTGATTCTTATAGTTTTTCCATTAATGTAAAAGAGGAACATATGGTCACATGTCAGTACTAGAGTGGGATTGGAGTTAGTTGATTAGACTGATTATATATAATAAACAGACAGTGTATTGATCACAGCTCATAGAAAGAAGTAGAATATTGTTTGGAATCCACAATTTTTACATGGGAACAACATGACGGTCCATATGATCTGAGTGACTGCTTGTGGTACTAACATAGGAGAAACTAATATGTGGGTGTCAAAAGTCCAGGACCACACATATAGGCTCATCAGTACAGTGTTGGTGTGTACTAACATTCTGATTTATGTTGCAGCTTTTGCTCAGAATGTGCTGAATAATGGGCCCACCCCAAGAAATGGAACAAAAACCGATCAAGCCCATCCTCCGATTCATCCTCTCAAGTACACAGACAACCTGCAGGTACTTTTTGTCTTGTTTTGATTATACAGATGGTATTTGTATGTATTTATTCTACAGGCAGCCAGTATGACACAGTGGCTAACTTGCTTGGATGTCGCCATTATTCTCACATGTTCAAGTCCTCCGTGGGGCAGGAATAAAAAAAAAATGAAACTGACAAAGCTTCCGAGTCAACATAGCTTAGCATGGGTACTAAGAAATGTTCTGAAAAGTAAATGCTACTGATGTCATATTCAATATAAAGCCCATTGTTTTCCGGCTTGTGTGAAAATGTAGACAGATTTTTTTAAAAGCATCATTGACATTGTAATGATATCACCTCTTGTCAAAGTTCAGTATAGATTGTAATAGTATAAAAGAAAATGATACCCTTAATAATCAGGATTTATGTAAGTATGGTAATATGGGTATAAATAGACATGTTGAAAGTCATTAGGGCAGCAGAATAATGATAATTAGGGGGAATGCTAAGATTACAGTAGACAGGCTGGAAAACAAATGCAGTTTAGTTCTCTCTATAGAAGCTTTTCTTTGTAAATTTCATGAAAGAATTTATTCTTCCATCAGGGAAATGAGAGAAAGGTGTATGAATTTATCGTGCGCCACTTTCTGGCCTGTGTGTCCCAGGATGCCCAGGGACATGAAACTGTTGTGGAAATCGATATTGCAGAAGAAGGGGCAAGTCACTTTTGTAGTCTCTGTTGTGTTGTCCAGTTATTAAGGAAGGGCGGAGAATAGTATGTGTTGTGTTTCGCACCATCCTTTTTGTAACCCAGGCTAAAATAAATGTTTAACAAATGTCGATAGCTGAAGAAAAAGAGAGATAATGTCAACAAATGATATTTGATCACATAAACAAATTCTTTGCTAACTTTTCTTCCCAAAGACATCTCTGGTACCAATTTTTGTGAAAGTCATTTGACCCTAGAGCTGTCTTCTTCTTCTTCTTCACTTCCTCTTTTACCACTGTGGGTGTCAAGGGAGATATAAGGTTCTGTTTCTAGCTCTTCTGGCCGCCTCGACCATAGGCACATCGTGCTGTTGTAGAGTTTCTCTGATGTTATCCTTCCATCTTGTTCTTGGTCTACCTCGTGCTCTACGTCCTTCTTCTCTTTCCATGTATGCTTTGTATGGTATGGTGTCACAAGGCATTCTCTTTAAGTGGGCAAACCATTTCACTTGTTGTCTTCGTATGTAATTTAGAATTGGTTCTGTGCCGACTTTTTCTCTTATGATCTCATTCCTGATCTTATCTCTTATGGTCACTCCTACAGCCCTTCTCAGACATCTCATTTCCATGGTTACTAATTTTCTTTTATGGTTTGTTGTGAGTGACCATGTCTGGCACTGGTAGCACAGAGTTGGAATAAATATGCTTTGAATAAGATGTCTTTTTGTGCTGATTGGGATTGTCTTATGCTGTAAGAAGGGGGGGGGGGGGGGGGGGGGGGGGGGGGGCTAGCTGTCCCAATACTTGGTTTGCTTTACTGCATCTAATGTTAATTTCTTTATCCAATTTCCCATCTTTGGTAAATGTAGTTCTCAGATATTTAAACTCAGATGCCTGTTTAATGCCTTTGCACTCTATTGCTATGTTTAGATCTGTCTTTTTTTTTCCCTATTGACATTACTTCTGTCTTTTCAGTGTTGATTCTCATGTTTTTTGTTTTACATTCTTCATTCATGGATGTTAGATGTTGTTGCAATTACATGGCTGTATCTGCTATCAAGGCCTGGTCATCTGCAAAGAGTAATTCGTTGATCTTACTAACATTTTCACTCATGGGCTTGGCATTCTTGCATATACTGTCGATGTAGGTGATAAACAGCAGTGGTGATAAGACACACCCTAGAGCTGTATTGGTGGAAATATATCATGTCATTATTAAAAGATAGTTGATGTGCCAGTGTACTGACTTGGCATCATTGTTAGTTTGGCACATATGAAAACTGGCAAACTGCCTCTGTGCATTGGCTTGTAGTCTGTTGACAGGACATACCACAGACCTGTAAGATAAACATTACCTACCAATGATTTTTCACTGAATAGACTGCTACCCTGGGTGTACCAGTTGGAGCCACAAGACAGGAAAACCATGTGGGAGCCACCCATCATTACATTAGCCAGAACAGAATGGGAGTTGTTAGCCTAAAAACACTTGGAGACATACTCAGGAGTAGATAGGAGCACCTATGATCGTGTCCGATGAAGATGATCTCTACAATGAACAATAAACCAAAGCCTAATCCCAGACACCCAAATGTACTGTGCTGCATCATAACCAAGGCTATTTTCTAATATGAAACTCTACTCTTGTGACATTTGTTCCTTCTGTTTAAGAAAACAAATATGACTACATTCAGTCTGCTGAAAGCCGTAGTTATAATTGTGATATTGATTTTTGTGTGCCAACTTTGATGGCTAAGGTTGCACTTTTTTATGTGCCGAGATTTAGGGCTTACTGTGCCTAGGTGTATATTGTCATTATCATCATAAACCACTTCTGCCATCTAAGTGTAGTGGGGAGGAATAATTTCCATATTTACATGTCTGGGCCCTTTATGTTGGTCTTGTGGTCTGCATAAAGGTCATTTTTTACTTGTGAAGTGTTAATGCCTGTCTTACATACTTGCTGGTTTGTGTGAGCTTAAAGAAGGTTCAAAGAGCGACATAGTGACCCTTTGCCAGTGCCCCTGTGATAAATGTCAACTTGAATATGTATCTTATTCAGGAATTAAAACTCACAGCTTTCCAGAGGATTCATAACAGAGCAACCAGCCATCAGTCAGGCCAGTGCACAAAATACTAAATGACTTTATAAAAAATAGTGTCTGTTGAAAAAAATAGTAGAGGATTCACAAGGTATACCAAATGACTGGAGGGCTTAGTATGATATACCAGAGGACTTTTGCTCCAGTGTGAGATAAAAGACAGAAGCGAAAGATTAGATGGATGTAAAAGAAAAAGTGAAAGATTAGATGGATGTAAAAGATAGAAGTGAAAGATTTGATTGATGCAGAGTTTTTAAAATCATAATTTCTGTTCCATTTCTATTTTATTTGCCAGTTTACAACTCAGGGCTTGATGATCCTGGCCAGAAATTACCTTGAGGTGTATCCCTATGAGAAATGGAATGCAAAGGTTTGCAGAAATTTCTTTTGAATTTTTTCCAATTTTGCATCTTTCAAGGCTGTTGTGTCATAAAAACCAACTGCACACACACATCTTTTTTGTAACAGACTGATAAAGCATGCTGAGAAAATATGCTCCATGCAGAGTCGCAAGCATGGCTTCAGAGATGGTGAGTAGTTAGCATCATTTTTATGTATACTGTACAGGGTATGCAGGTGTTTTCAAAAACAGACAGGCAGATGGACTTGTTCTGCACCCCTTGTTGGTAAATTGATGCATGACAAGCTAGATGCTATTGAGACCTTTTAGGAGCGAGTGAGCAGTGCAGATTGATCATCAATCTGAAGAAAACTGCACCGCGCGTAGTGACCTTGGCATTTGTTCACAGTCAACACTCAAGGGTAAGGAAAGACAGACATACAATCAGACTGCTACTGGTACCATCAGAATTTGAATTCTGTGCCGCCTGCTGAAAATGGGGACGTAGCGCTAATGCAAATGTCCTGGAGTTCAAAAGTGACCAGACAAGCTGTGGAGGGACTGGTTGCTACTTTGGTCCTGCCTGTGACCCTGATGGAATTGAACATTTAGCATGGCTGAGGTTGAACGCAGGCAAAGAAGAAGCAAATGTTAGATATAACTGGAGAGTCATGGTCAGCTCCGGATTTAGGTATAATATTAGCTAGTTGGTCGATTAGTGAAACAATTTAGATGTAGTTTTATACAGGAATGATGAGAATACCCTGGACAGATTAAAAAAGAGTAATAAGGACATCTTGAAAGAAACCAAATCACGAAGAGAACTGATTGCCCACATCAGAAAGAGACAATCTACATTCTTTGGTCATGTGATGAGAAGCAGAAAACTGGAGTACATCATGACAGTAGGAAAACTGGAAGGAAGGAAATGCAGAGGGACCAAGGCAAAAGATGCTGAACAGTTTGACATCCTGGCTTGGAGGGTAATCTGTGTTAGAGTTGATTAAAGGCACACAAGGCAGAAGGTTGTGGATAGACATGAATACCAACGCCAAACTGCATGGACTTAAAGAAGAAGAAATTAGCTACAGCTTCCTTGACACCTTCCAGACGATAGTGTTATATTGCGCTATGAGGAGGCATGAGACTCGCACCCCATGGTGTGACCAGCAAGACCCGCCCGTGTCAAGAAAAGTCTTCCACAATGATAGCATGGGATTTCAGGACCATTTCTGTTTAATCCGTTTTTTTTTTTTTCAGATGCTCAGCTCTCACCCTTTCTGCAATCATTTCTTCTTTCAGTCTCATTCCCTTCCTGATATGCCCTTTCCACACAACACGGTCCATTGCATTTTGTTCCCATGAATCCGCCTAAACACCTGTATCATTCATGTCCCGCTTGCACACATCTTTATAACGTAGTACAGGTCGGCCTCGACATATTCTTCTTGTCTTTTATTCACCATATAGGATGTCCTTAGGGACTCTGCCGTCCTCCATTCTCTAGGTGTGGCCCAGTGTGACCCAGCCACCTAAGCCTTCCTAGACTGAGCATGGAAAAGACTTTTGTAGTACCTGCTCTTAAACTATTAAGCCGTTTCTCCTGGTGCAAATAGGTTGACCAAGTTTCACTGCCATAAAGCAGAGTGCTGAGAACACAATCCTGATAGACAAGGGTTTTTGTTTTAATTGTGAGCTTTCTGTTCTCCCAAACTCTCTTTGTCAATCTACTCATTGTTGTTGCTGCCTTACCTATCCTGATGTTAATTTCTTGGTCCAGCGATAGTTTACTATTCACAATGGAACCCAGATAGGTAAAATGGTCTACTGTCTCAAGCTCTTCACCGTCAATGTAGACTAGGTCTGTCATTGACACTTTGCACCATTACCTTTGTCTTCTTTTTGCTGACTGTTAGTCCAAATTCACAGCACGCATCAGCAAAGGCAGATAGTAAACATTGCAGCTCCTCCTCTGAGTTGGTGGTTATTGCGGCATCATCTGCAAACAGCTGCTGTCTGATAAGTACCTTTCTTATCCTGGTTTTGGCCTTCAGCCTGCGAGCATTGTAAAGGTTGCCGTCAGATCGAGAATGAATGAAAATACCACCCTCCTGATCTCGAAAGGCATATGTCGAAAGAAGTGAAAAGTATATTGCAAAGAGTGTAGGAGCAAGTACACACCCCTGCTTCACTCCATTTTTGATTAAAAACTCCTTTGATGTTACACCATCAAAGCTGATTGTACCTTTCATACCTGTGTGGAACGACTCAATAATGCTCAGTAGAGTAGGTGGACACCCAATATTCTTCAGTGCGCCGAACAGACCTTTTCGACTAACCAAATCAAATGCCTTGGTAAGATCAATAAAAGCAACATACAGTGGATGATTTTTTTTGCGGCCTTTTTCCTGCAACTGTCTGAACGAAAATATCATATCATTGGTAGATTAGTTCCCACGAAAGCCACACTGGGACTCAGGGTAAACGCGATCCCCCAGGATCTGTAGTCTTCGCAGAACAATTCTCGCAAGCACTTTTCCAACAGTACACAGCAGTGATATTCCCCTGTAGTTATTGCAGTCACTCCGATCACCCTTGTTCTTGTACATAGTTAAGATGCTTGCATCTTTGAAATCTTACGGAACCTCCCTCTTGCCAGCAGAGTTTTATTAGCTGATGGATGTGTGGGGTTAGAATGTCTTTCCTACTCCTGATGATTTCAGTAGGAATTCCATCTTTGCCTGGGGCTTTACCTGAAGCCAATTCATCAATAGCATTCCTAGCTTCTACAACTGTTGGAAATGTGTCCATATAGTCAAGAGTTGATAGCGTCTCCATGAGCATTAAGAGCACCATCTGCTAGTTTAGTATCAACTGAGTAAAGCTCCGATTATGTTCCACCCATCTATCTAGCTGCTACTTCTTGTCATTATTAATCTCCCCATTCAAATTCTTTAGTGGTTCACTTTTTTTAATTGTAGGACCGATGGCCTTCTTGATCCCCTCAGACATGCCTCTAACATTACCATCACTGCTAGCATTTTGAATGCTTTCACATAGCTGGATCCAGTAGTTGTTGGCACACTGCCTAGCTACTTTTTGCAAATGATTTCTAGCTGCTCTTAATTCAGTGAGTGTTCCTTGTTGTTCTTTCCTTGTTTCTGGGGAGTATTGCCTTTTTGCTGTCAGTTAAAGGTTGGAGTGTCTGGCTATTTGCTTCAAACCAGTCCTTACTTCTATTTTCTCTAATCCCATAGACTGATACAGCTGTTTTGTAAACAGTCTCCCTAATTTCATCCCATTTTAGGCTTGCTGTGGAGTTATCCTGGATATCAGTGAAAGCATCTTCAAGCTGTTGTTGAAACTCAAAACACTTTTAAGGGTCTTTAGTTTTGGATATATTTGTTTTTTGAAGTGAAAATTCTCTTTGGTTTCATCCAAACTCTTGTATAACCCGTAACTGCTGCTTCTCGATTTGTTTCCGAGACCGATTAAGGCCAGGGATGAAGTTCCTCCTCTCCATAGCACAAAGTCTGGGCAGTATTGTTGAGACGATATGTTGCCCATCCATAATGATCCCTCCCTCGACCTGCCTTGTTTACTCCAATGGAAAGGTAAAACCAGTACGTTTGGAACGAGGCAGGTTGCAGAAGCTGCCAGATCAGAAGAGCAGTGCTCTGTCTGCCTGTCAGAGCTTCCCTCCTGGACCAGCTGCCAGCCAAGGTGAAGGGCCTGGTTTGCCCTGCCATAACGCAAAGTTTTTAGATTGCATTTCCTCTTCCTAGGATAAAGCTAGTATCCTCCCCAATGCGCTCCTCCGCCCGAAGCCGTTGGCTCAAAATGGGTTGTTGGGTTAGTATACACCGCCCAACATTCAGTGTATCAGAAGACAGGTGGTACCGGCTACTGTTATACGGTAGCTCAGTCATATCTGACCAAGACCTGACACACAATACACCAACAATGTCTTCATGCAGTCACAAAAAACAGGCTTTCATTTAATGCTTGTATGGTTTTTGTTTGTGATGTTTTAGGAAATTCCACTGTACAGACAAGGTGACCAGTTTGAGCCTAATTCAATTGAGGTACTTTTTTCTCTACTTTTTCATTATAATAATGTTAATATCATATAGATAACATAAGCAAAGTATGGTTGTTAAGACTTGTTTCTTTCATAATGAACAAATATTTCTATTAGGCTCTCTGCCACAAGTTTAACACAGAGTGACTGCTACACATGTGGCCTGTTAGGTGACTATAACAAACGTCCAGTGTTTATTTGTATTTTTTAAAGGAAAGAGGAGTTTGGGTTGATATTATGTTATAGCAGCAAAAGATAATGTAGTAAAACATTGTTAACACGATCTTGCTTAAGAAGAACATGCAGATAACGTGAACATAATTGTGGTCCTAGAAGTGATGTTATATTATTATTTCCTGAATAGCATAAATTGTGTTTACACACTCTATTTTATTTTGTTTCTAAATTATTGCTGCAAACTCTAAGTAGGGGGATGTATATGTGTGCATGAACTATTTAAGTCCTAGAGAATTTTAATAATGCATGGAACAGCAAGGACTCTTTTAATGCATTAGGCGCATCAGGCATATAATGACTACGTTTTTATAGAACAGTCCGCACTCATTGTGTTGTATGTCAACAAGTTCTTCAGCATGCCAAGCCCTTGAGGTTCACTACTACAGATATCATCCACCTCTATTCATCTCTATGATTGGTCTTCTGTTTCCTTTTGTTGACAAAGTATTTGTAGGTCTACCTATATGTTATCTTTCCATCATCATCTAGGTCTGCCCCCTATTCATCTATTTTATGTATGCATTTTATTTCTCTCTGTCATCTGCCATTCATTCTGTATGCCCTACTCATCACAGTCTGTTTGCTCTCACGATGGCAGTGATTAGTGATGCATAGAAAACAGATTGCAAACCATTCATGAACAGGTCTACATTAGGCTTGACCAGTTGGTTTCTTCTTCTTGTTCACTGGCTGTAAAATGAGGCAGAAAGTTCTGGCTCTTCATCCACTTTTGGACTTGTTCCAGAACTTGAGTTTTGTGTGAGCATACATTTTACAGATCTGCCTTATTTTTTTTGCAGACTGTTTGTTCATCACCTCTTAGGCACATGCACTCAGAGTTAAAAGGGAACTTCTCTAATTAGTCGTCTTTCACAACATGTTTGTTAGGGGCAGTAGGTCTATTCTTATTTCCCCAACAATCAGGCCCCAAAAACCCACACTAGAAACTAGTTGGTTTGAAAGTCATTTTCATCGAGGGATAAAAGGCAGCAGAAGAAGAGGAAGAAGAAGAATGCTAGCCACGGCACCATAATTTCATTGAGTCCTCCATTTTGTCGTAAATGTTTTGTTCATTTTTAAAAGGACTGTTGTAGACTCCCTTTGGTTTCCCCGAAGGCCCTTTTTGTAAAAAAAAAAAAAAAAAAAAAGTTTTCATAAAATAACTGCAACGGATGTAATTATTTTTAGATCATTGCTGGAGAAACAAGTGCTCCCCCTTTGTTGACAGAAGCAGATCTCATTGCCCTGATGGAAAAGCACGGAATTGGTATGATTGTTTTTGAATATGGCAGTGACAAGAAATGGTTTCTTTATCAGTAATAAAATTCTATCTTTATTTATAACATTAAAAAAAGTTTTTTAAAGAATCTTCTTCTACACATTCACCAGCTGTAAGCTCTTGCAGAAGGTTCTAGTAGTTTGTCTACTTCTGGACTGTAGTCCTGTTTCAGAAACTGAATGTTGCGTGCACATCTGTTTTACAGATCTGGCTAATGTGTATGCAGACTGTTGTTTCCATGCCTCTCCGGCAAATGCTCTCCCAACTTCGAAGGAAGCCCCCAATCAGTCGACTCTTACAACATGCTTTTGGGTAGGCAGTGGGTATTTTCTTGTTCTCCGTACAACAGGGCCCTGGAACCAGCACAGGGATTTTGAAGAATAATTCTCAAGTTCATTAAAATATGTTGGTAGTAATGCTTAATTTTTAGTCAGTTTTATCAATTAGGATATTTTTGCACCAGTGTGTTTTACCATTTATAGTGATTTTAGGCTGTATTTTTATTACTTATTGTGTTTTCGTGGCATCATTATTCATTACCTTTGTCCAATCAGGTAATTACAGGTCAACTTCATATTAAACAGGGCACTCCATAGTTACTCCATTTCTGTGCCAACAAAAACCACACGAAATGTCAGTCACCATTCCTTGTGGAAAAAATTAGCCCAGACTGCAGTCTCAGCAAATTGAAAAGCATACACATGCATTAAATGCATAAGGCAGCCATCAGAAGTGCCAACAAAACTATATCCTCTCAGTCTATATATGGATGAAAACGCAGTGGTCAGCTATTGTCAGAAGGAAAAAACTTGCCATGACTAAAACAATAAACTTGCCTATTCACCATATTGGCTCACATTTTTGTAGACCAAACAGCCCTCAATGGGTGATGTGGTCAACATCATGCCAGCCACTTTTACTTCCCAGGACTTTTACTTGGTACCCATTTCAGCCTGGGTCGACCTGGGAGCCAAGGTCATGTTAGAAGAAAATCTGGCATTATGCAGATTTGAACCCACACTACACCAGTGTGGCTAGATGCCTTCAGTAATAAATCCATGAATATACATTCCTTCTCTTGCAGGCACAGATGCCACTCATGCAGATCACATTGAGACTGTGAAGTCTCGCATGTATGTGGGTCTCAGACCTGATGGGAGATTCGTTCCTGGTCATCTAGGCATGGGTCTTGTTGAAGGTAAGGCTGAGTTGTATCTCTGGATTTGGATGTAGTAAGATTAAGTTGTCTTGGTGGAGATGGAGTGGTGGCTGAGTTGTTCGGGGGTGGGGGTCATTTGTCGTGTTTAGGAGGGTAAGATTGAGTTGAGTTGTCTTGGGGTTGGGGGTAAGGCTCTGTTGTTTCTAGGTGTGAGAGAAGGATGTAAAGTTGAGATGTGTCTAAGTGGAGGCGAGACTGTTGTCTCTGAGTGAAAGGTAATTCTGAGTTGTCTGTGGGTGAAAGATAAAGCTGAATTGCCTCTGAGTGGAAGGTGAGGCTGAGATGTATAGAATCAACTAAAGTTTAGGCACATACTTTCATGTCATTCCACAACTTGTAATTTTTTTATTTTTAAAGAAAAGAACCCTTTTATGTGAAAAAAGTACATATTTTTTTAAGTATAAAGAGAGTAGTATCCTTTTGTAAAAATCTTGATTGTAGCAAAGTTAATCATGTAAAACACAAAACTGTCGCTGAACACCAAATTTACTTATTAAACTCATGATAAAAGCAACAGTGTTTAGAACACTCATCCTCCGTTAACATTCCAGGTCCCCATTTGGGGAAGGGTCAGATTAGGCTCACTGCCCCATAACAAGCTTGTCATAAAAGTTGACTTACTAGCGGTGTTTCCTTCTAGGTTGCAGTGGATCTCTCTGAGAGGCAAGGAACCAGAAGTCTGCTTACAACGAGCCAAATGCATAAATCTTTTCACAGCTTTCCAGCCGTTGAACATAAAGAAGGAGAAGAACACTTATGATGTACAGGGGAAGTACTTGGAGCACTGCTGTGAACAACTTGTAGTTGAAGACAAAATAACAACACACAAAAAGTATGGCCTAGCTCAGAGAAAGGTTTGATAGAGCAAATCCATTGTTTTTTACCAATCTTATGAGACAGACTAACATCTGCAGCTTGCAGCATTTACTGAAGAACTTAGAGCACCTCTAGGTTAGTCCTGAGTGCTATAATGTTATTTTTGCAATACCTGCTAATAAGAAGCTTGTTTGTCCTCTCCCATTTGACAGGCTATGACAGCATGGGTTATGAAATGTCCAAACCAAACCTGCGGGCTGAGCTGGAGGCAGATCTGAAACTGTAAGAATTTCATCTGTCTTGTTATAAATCTCATAAATAGACAAAGTATATATAGATAACCACCTGTGAAATGAAATGAGATGTTTGAGAATGGCTGCAAATAAAACCAGAAGAGATCGAGTGAGAAACGATGTGATTACAAGAACTGTTGGAACCATACCCATCGTTAAATTTATTGAGAAGCAAAGAATGAAATGGTTTGGTCACCTAATGAGAATGGAACCAACGATGCCAGCATCAAGAGCATACAACATGAAAATCGAAACACCCAGAGGCAGGGGAAGACCAAGAAGAAGATAGATTGAAGGAGTCACGGACAACTTGAGACTTCATAACATCACGGCATATGAAGCGACTGAGCGCGCCCTGGCTCGGTTGCCGATCATCTGATAAACTGCGACGCCTATCGGCACAAGCAGATTTTGACAAAAGAAGAAGATATATAGATAAACAAATATTGCTGTGTTTTTTTTTTCCAGTATGGTGAATTTAACAGTTGGACAGTTTTTGTTTGTTTTATTGATAACAAGTTTCTTGTTTCTTGTTTAAAGTGTATGTTATGTTCTTTGATTTAGTTTATATTAAACCTAGTTTATTGCTGTAGATTTGTGCAAAGTTTTTTTTTAACATATTTTTTTTTTTGTAGGATATGTGAAGGAAGGAAAACAAAAGAAGGTGAGTGTTTACTTTTTTCAATAATCTTTCTTCTTCTTCTTTGCGTTCATCAGCTGTAAACTTTGGCAGAAAGTTCTGGTTGTTTGTCCACTTCTGGACTGCAGTTCTGTTACAGAACCTGAGTGTTGTGTGTGTGCATTCGTTTTACAGATCTGGCTCATTTGCATGCAGACTGCTGGTTCCTTGCCTCTGGCAGATGAACTTTAGTTTCGAAGAAGCTCCCTATTAGTCGACTCTTACGACATACTTTTGGGTAGGCAGTGAGTTTATTCTTTTTTTCCCTATAATAGGGCCCTGAAACCCACACAGGGATTTTTAATAACAACATGGTAATCTACCAGTTGCAAAAAGCTCTGTGACTTGTCCAGCTGAAAAGTTACATGTTTTGAAATGTTTCTTCCTTTTGTCTTCAGGTTGTAACAAATACACAAGGTAAGGTAGTCCCAAGGCAAATACTGCCATAGGGCTGGACTCAATCGACATTTCTGAAGTCATTTACGTTACTGGTTCATTGCCTACTACATAATTAGTCATAACGCATTCATTGATAACTTGCACTTTTGAGGATTTGTCCATTTGAGAATTGCCTAGAAAAATAGGCAGCTCTAGAAGTCAGCCAATCTATTCTTTCATTATCATAAATCCCTCGTGTGGGTTCCGGAGCCCTATTATAGGGAAAACAAGAATAGACCCACTGCCTACCCAAAAGCATGTCGTAAGAGTCGACTAATTGGGAGCTTCATTCGAAGTCGGAGTGCATCTGCCTGAGAGGAAAGGAACCAGCAGTCTGCATACAAATGAGTCAGATCTGTAAAACGGATGCACATCCAACACTCAGGTTCTAAAAACAGGACTGCAGTCCAGCAGTGGATAAACAACCAGAACTTTCTGCCAGAGTTTACAGCTGGTGAGCATGACGAAGAAGAAGATTATCATAAATTCCTGTATATTTCACATAATATATACATGAGCGTCTTATGGATTAGTTGTACTAGTGAAAGGGGCCTGTTCAAACCACAGCCACCCATTTGTTATCCATATATCATTGACAGTGAACCAGTTAGAGATGCCACTTTTACTTATATGGGTTTTGTGTGGTAAAACTAACATTGTGTATGATCATTTCAGAAGTGTTGAGTGTGCAGATTCAGAAATACAAGGAGGTCTTTATTGAGGCATGTCGACAGGTAGGGTTTGAATACTCTCTCTCTTTCTCTCTCGATCTCGTGAGGGAGTGATATGTCCCTTTATTTAAGGTCTGTTTTTTCTTCTTCTTCGCGTTCACCAGCTGTAAACTTGCTTTTGGGTAGGCACTGGGTCTATTCTTGTTTTCCCTATAATAGGGCCCCAGAACCCACACAGGGAAAGGTCTGTTTAGAAAGTATCCTACGTAGGGCCAAGAAAAGTACAGTTACTCGCCTACAGGTTTGTTTAAAACCTCAAGTTAATCCTTTTCAGAGTAGTCACTTTGTGACTGCTTATACTTCTCCAAGTAGTCCTGCTGCTGTTTGGAGGCATCTGAGGTGGGTTTTTCCTCAACCATCATGTTCACACAGTCTTTTCATGACTCAAATTGGTTCCTTTTCAGCTTGAGAAACAGCCAGAAATCTCATGGAGCCATGTAGGGAGTGTATGGAGGCTGCGGATATCCCTTTGTATATGATCTGTGTGTGACATGTCTTTGTCTGGTATGCCTCAGGTGGGGGAGAGGGGGGTGGGGTGTGCATCCTTTACTAGAAATCTTTTATTAAATGCTGTCCTTTTATGTGCTTCTCTACATCATTTCTTTTCTTTTCTGAAAAGCAACCATTTTGGCTATGTCTTCAATTGCTAACATCCCCAATGTTTTCTCATAGCATGTTTTCAATTGTTTCTTTATTGTCTATGCTTCTGCACCATTTAATAGTGTTGAGTGTATATGTAACTGTAAATTGTGCACTAGCTGCTGGATATGGGATATGGAGCGTTTATGGAAATGTCCTGAGTGGTATGATGATGGCTATAACTCAACTGATTGGTAAATTATTGTCTTTAATTTCTTATCTTTTTAATGTATGAAATATATTTTTAGTCACTGTATTCTCTTTTTGTTTCTTGTTCATTTGTGGTAATTATCCTATATTGTTTTCGATATAAAAAACATAGGCCCAGAAATTGGATGAAGCCTTGTCTCAGTACCTTGGCCAGGCTCAGTCTCTCCCGGATAATGTGGGTAGGTTATGCTTGTTTTGTTTTTATTTTTTTCTTCCTTTGTATGTGAAACAGGTGTTGTCGAGGCACCAGATAAGGACAGGGCTGCCAATGCTGGGTTTTCCCCAAGATCTGGGTTTTTTGGTTGTCGTCTGGGGTTCTTGGCTTTTATTGTGAAAATTATCAAAAATCTTGGGTTTTGAGTCTTATTGCTAAGAGACAAATAAAACTACGTTTAATAAATATTCTAAGAATAAAAGTTTTATTAGAACATTATATTTTTGCTTAACAGTCTGGAAAATTCTCGTTCAAGTTTGAACTAAAGCAACCATTTGATAACATGCTGGCCTACCCGTAAAACTGCATCATCTGAAAATGTATGCGTGGTAAACAATGTTTTTGGCTCAACTACTCGACCTTGTCTTTATGCAAATTAGCATAACAGTATACAAGTGATAATGAAAGTACAATGCACAGTTAGAACGGCAACAACCAAGTGACCAGATTTACGAATCTATAGAATACTGAAATGGTTGGGGCATATTGAAAGAATGTCAGATGACAGAGAAGTAAAAACTGTATACATGAGGGAGATGAATAGTCGTAGACCACGAGGCAGACCAAGAAGACGATGGAGAGAAAATATCCAGACAGACCTGCAAACACTTGGTGTCACCAACTGGAAATAAAAGGCCAACCAGAGAAAGGAATGGAGGCGGGTGATATCTGCAGCAATGAACCTCAAGGGCTCGGAATGCTGAAGAAGAAGAAGAAGAAGATAGAATGCATTGGGAAGTAAGAGATCTAACACAAAAATAGGACAGAGACTTGAAACTCCTATGGTAAATCAACAGAAGAACGAAGCATTGTGACAGCGAAGAAATTGTTTTAGCGGCCTTTTCAGGGATTAACAACCTCAAAGGGTGACTAACGTCAGCTGAAGGTTAGCAATTGATCCCCACATTACGAAGATACTGAATCAAATGAGTCTTGTGTTTTGTTCCTTTTAGGCTTTCATGAACACATGTAGTAGTTGCCTATAGTTCAGCCTGGTTGTCTCCAAAGAGTTAAATCAGTATTTTAATACCACTACTTTGCAGTGAGCTATCATGTTGCTTTGGTAATCTAAAACTATTCTAAAGATTAACATATGACTTTAAAATGGAGATACTTTTGTCGTCTTTGGACAATTCAGTACACTTCTTTGCTAGTAAGTTTTCACATTTTCCAATACGGGTCATTTTAAATAGATTGTTTTTCTTTTGTGTTTGCTCTGAGAAGATTGTGGTTAACATTTAGGCTGATATCAACGTATTTTGGCCCTACACATCTTTTTTCAGCAAAACCCTAATTAAGTTTTACAACATGATGGTAAGGTGCAGTGGATCATTCTGTCCCCCCCCCCCCCTCCCCCCCCAAAATGAGGCCTCGAAACCACACACAGAATTTTTAAAATGTTAACTATCTCTATCCTCTTACAGGGGAGACAGATAACATCCCGAGCGTGGTGATGACTTGTCCTAGATGTGGAAATCCAATGACACTCCGAACAAAAAAAGATGGAAAAGGGTTGGTTGGATGTTTATTAATTCTTTAATCTTTATGTTTTGAGTGTATGTTCTTTTTTAAACAAAATATTTTAAACCTTGAATAGATGCGCTGTTTTCATATGCTGTGGGTGAACATTATTTCATTCAGCCCTTTTGAATGTCACAAAGTTTTTCTTGGTGTGTTTTTGGTTTGCTAAATAAGTTCCCAATATCTCTGACACCTTGAACGTGCATGAAGTATGAGTTCAGCTGTAATTGTATCCATGTTACCTGAACATTGATGGGTGGGGCCAATATTTAAGCTGTTGACATACTGATCTATCACCTGCTAGTTATACTTCTCTGGCATTGTCTGCTGTGGAATTACTCTTTTCTAAGTAACTGGTTGGCTCATTCTTCTCTTTCTGTATACTTGAATGTATAATAATGCCTTTCTCCATAATTTTCTCTCTGTCTCTATGTGTATGTATGTGTAATGTACGCCTCTCTCTCCTTCTCCCTCTCAACCTATTTCTCTGTCTCCTTCCCTCCTCTGTGTGTGTGAGAGAATATTAAAATTTTTGTGTGGCCGTATTCTGTTGATTCACAGATTTTACATCGGGTGTTCTGGATATCCAAACTGCAAAGCCAGCATTTGGCTGCCAGATTTTGTTGTGCAAGCCCATGTCACAGATGAGCCTTGCCATATTGTAAGTAGTACCTATAGTATCCCACATGTTCTAAGCTTTCAGAGATTTCTCATGTTAAATAAAAGAAATATAGTGTTGGATTACATTTGCCAGATTGTTAAGTTCCTTTGTGTTCCATCTTTTAATGTTGATCCTAATCCTAGTGACTTGTCTACACTTGGCAACCAAATGATATTGATATGTAGGTACATGAAGCCTGGTCCAGGAACCTGTAGACTTTGTCATTGCTGGTAACCTGTTGGAGAGGGCTATAGTAACTTTCTTTTAAATTTGAGAATGCAGGACACTTGTAGAGAATGTGGTTGATTTGTTTCACAAGAGGTCACATGAGGAGGATTGATCCTTTGTTTTTTAATATACCAGTTGACTTTCTGTAGGTCATTTCAATGTCATGCTGACCGCCCTTACCTTCCATATTTTGTTACCGTTACCCTTGTTCAACCTGAGACCCAAGGCCAGTTTTAAAAATCTGCCTTTAAACAAGTCAGACAAATGACCTCTGAGCCAGCAGCATGTGAACTAGCCAATGCACTGTCATGGCTCTTTTTGGATGTGTGTTATGTATGTATGTATATATGTATGCATTGATGTGTTTTTATGTGCACACTCATACACATATCACAGTTGCTTTATAAGACACCACATATGTAACAGCAACCATGTAAATTACCTTTACTAGACGCCACATTTATTACATAACAGCAAACATGTAAATTACCTTTACTAGATGCCACATTTATTACATAACAGCAAACATGTAAATTACCTTTACCAGATGCCACATTTATTACATAACAGCAAACATGTAAGTTACCTTTACTAGACGCCACATTTATTACATTACAGCAAACATGTAAGTTACCTTTACTAGATGCCACATTTATAACATAACAGCAAACATGTAAATTACCTTTACTAGATGCCACATTTATTTCATAACAGCAAACATGTAAATTACCTTTACTAGATGCCACATTTATAACATAACAGCAAACATGTAAATTACCTTTACTAGATGCCACATTTATTACATAACAGCAAACATGTAAATTACCTTTACTAGACGCCACATTTATTACATAACAGCAAACATGTAAATTACCTTTACTAGATGCCACATTTATAACATAACAGCAAACATGTAAATTACCTTTACTAGATGCCACATTTATAACATAACATGTAAATTACCTTTACTAGACGCCACATTTATTACATAACAGCAAACATGTAAATTACCTTTACCAGACGCCACAAATATAACATAACAGTAAACATGTAATTAACCTGTACCAACATCTTGAGACTTATTGGGCATATTGCATCAGCCCTATAATTTTTTGTACACCAGTAGACACTTGATGGGTGGTAAAAATATCTTATAAACTACTTTTCCTTCCAAGAACATTTCCTGTACCTGCGTTTGGGCTGGTTTGGTCTGGGAGACATTGTTGTTTAAAAATTTTTATAAAAAAATATAAATTCCCCCTTAGTTGGAATTTAGAACTAAGAACACCATACTGATAGGCACTCCTGCTAGCCGTTGGATTATCACAGCTATATTTAACATAATAGCCAATAGAATATTGACAGTTAAAATTTGATTTAACTGTGTCATTGTTTGAAATTGAAGCTAAACTGTTTTCCTTCCCAGTGCCAGCCGGGGCCGGTCAAGAAATTGCAGTTCACATTTAGACCTGGAAATGTTCCTGTGTCAATGTCCAATGTGTATGTTTATTTCCTTTCTTTCTTTTTAAAAAAAAATGTGTTTAATTAATTCATTTTTGTTTCAAATATATCTACTGAAAGCATTACCAAACACTTAATCCCACAAAGCAGAGATTGTGTTTAAGATTCCTAAAATTTCTGGTCGCCTGCCTTTGTATAAACTGTGAGAGAAAAAAAGCACTTTGATTGAGTGTATTCTTCTTCTTCAACATTCTAAGCATTCTTGAGGTTCATTGCTGGAGATATCACCTGCCTCCACTCATCTCTCTGGTTGGCCTTCTCTCACCAGTTCGTGACACCAAGTGTTTGTAGGTCTGTCTGGACATTATCTCTCCGTCGTCTTCTTGGTCACCTTGTGGTCTACGACTGTGTTCTAGAATCACAAAATTCTCAAATTAAAGATTGAAGAATCAGTGGGAAATAGAGCGGGCCCCAGATCTCATAAAGCTTCAACCTGTATGTTTTCAAGTCCCAGCAGTATCACAGCTCTGTGGCAGCATCTAGTGACTACATTTACAGCAGTTCTTTATTCCAGTGACATTATAAAAGAGAGAGTACATTTCACTCTATCTCATAATTAATTAGCAAACAAGCCAAACAGTTTGTTAGGTTTTGCAGAAGAATGCTAAAAATTTCCTAGGCAGCCAAAATGAGTATTCCAGATGATTTGAAAGAGGTGAGGGCCAAAAGACAACTTATTGTAAGCAGAAGGAGACAGTCATCACTTGTTGGCCCTGTTTTGGGTAGAGAAAAACTGGACCATGTTGTGACCACTGGAAAGAGAGAGGAAGACAATGTGACAAGATTCTTGACAGTCCATGCCAGTCGGCAAGGCACTTGATGATAATGATGACCTCATAAGTCTCAGAAATGTTTCATCATGTAGATTTTCTACCATGTGGCTTAAGGGGCAGTCTGTTGTATGGACCTCCAAGTTACTGGTGTGTCTTTGATCTGTCTGTTTCAGTCATCATTCACCAGCACTACATTTCTGTCTGTCTCTCTGTCTCTTATATGTATGTATGAATGTATGTATATATGTATGTACGTATGTATGTATATGTGGGTGTATGTGTGTGTATGTATATCTATATGTATGTATGTGTGAGCATGTGAGAGTATGTGTATTTTTTTGAGTATGTATGATTGTGAATATATGATGTATGTATGTATTTTTTCATTATATATATTTTTTTTGTAGACATAACATGCATTATCGATAACATGTAATGGTGCTTTGAAAGATGAGTACTTGGAAAGGCCGAATATAAGACGGGATGGTGTGCCCAATTTGTAACCCTTTGAAAATAAAGTTTGTTCCCTCCCAGTCTGTCACGCAACAAGAATGTAAGGATTTGCTATATGTGTTCTAGACTTAAGATACCCACTCAGCACACCTGAAACTGTCTGCAGTGTATTCCAAGATAATTACACAAACATGGAAGTATTCTCACAATAAGAGTTAGTTTACTGAAACTCTGCATTTTTTGTTTCTTTTCTAATATCTTAGTTTCACTGGCTGTGTGGCTGGATGCGATGAGATGTTAAATGAAACTCTGAGGATTCGACCACTTTCTGGCCAAGGTATTTTTTTGTTTTTTTTTTTTGTTTTAAGTGTAAAAGTCTATGTGTTGTTACATCATTTTAGAAATATGATTATAGCCATGACCTGATAGGGCACAGTTGAAATATATGATCAGCCACTTGTACTTTCTTCCCTTGCTAGTTGCTCTTCCAGATCTCCAGTTAACATCACCATTTAACCAAAGCAGTAATTTCCCATTAGAAACTTATACAAAGAAGGCACACATAATAGATCATCATCATCATCATCTTGCCCAGCGGCACAGGCGCTCACGTCTCTCCACAGATCTCAGCCCTTGGTATTTCAACCATGCTCCTGTTTCAAGTCGTCAAACATTGTCTGTTGGTCTATCTCAGCTTCTTCTGTTAACCTTTGATCTTTCCATTCATCATGATGTTCTCCAGTGCCTCTCTTCTCAAAATAACATAGCATAGTTTATTACTTTGAAGTATGAACTCATATTCCAAGACATGGAGGTGAATACTGTTTATCTCTCTTATTCAGGTCATGGTGCTGCAGTGCCAAGAACAGACATCACTGTCATTAGTCCCAGAAGTAACAGTGCTGGTAGAGGCAGCAACAGTAGTAGTGGTAACACAACCAACCATACTGGTGGCAGTGCTGGACAGTTATCTGGTGCAGACTCTTCAGGAACCAGTTCTACAAGAAACTTTCACACTTCTGCTGCTGATGCAATGAGCCATAACAGAGGATTTCCCAGTGAAGTCAGACCACTGAATCCCCGACAGAATGTTGCTCCCGGTGGAAGCTGGAACATCCCTCAAAATCTGGGTGTGGCTCAATCTTTCAGTCCCAGGGTCAATCCCCAGCCTTCTCAGTTTCCTAGAGCTTCAAACTCTAATAGGTACCCTTTGACTTCTGTAAATTCACGAATGGACAGTAGTAGAAGAAATATGTTCTCATCTCCTTCAGTACCAAGGGCTGGCAGTAGTTCGAGTACTGGCAATAGTTCGGGTACTGGCAATATTTCAAGGGCTGGCAATAGTTCGGGTACTGGCAATAGTTCGGGTACCGGCAAGGAGATAGTTTGTAGCTGTGGCAATGATGCTGTTATCCTGACTGTCAGGAAAGAGGGACCTAACACAGGTACTTATGTTTATGTGTTTTCCATTCTCTTGATTTATCTTTTTTTTTCTTTTCTTTGTATAATTATGTCTAATACACTGCTGTTTCACTTCTTGACAGTCCTTATGGAGCAAAGTCTCTAACCCCATTTACATGCTGACCGTACTGAGCAAACTGTTTTCCTTAACTCCATTCACACAGGTCGCCATTCTTCTTATTAGCATTCGCCAGGTGTAAACTCTTGGACTTGTTTAAGAACTTGAGTTTTGCATGCACATCCATTTTACAGATCTGATATATTTGTAAGTAGATTGTTGGTTTCTCGCCTCTCAGGCAGATGCACTCCGACTTCCAAGAAAACTCCCCTAATTAGTCTCCCCCTCCCCCAAATGGGACCTCGAAACCCACACGAGGATGCATTCAAGCTGCAGTGTGTATATTCTTGCTGGAGTCCTCAGGCATGATGCATTTTGCATTGTTATTCAAGTAGCTTGAAGCTAATTTTCTGGGAGAGCAGCTTCCTCACTGGACAGTTTGGTAATCGATTGTACCTGTGAAAGCATCATCTGGATAGCACAACTAGACAGAGGATAAAGTGTGTAGATGTGGTTTCTGAAAAAATGAAGAAGAATATTGTGGACAGAGCAAGAAACAAACCTTGAAATACTGAGAGCTGCAAGTGTCACACTTATAACCCTAAAGAAAAGGCGAGTGCGATTATGCAGCATGTCCGTAGAAGTGGAGTGCTGAGATTAGTCTGATGTATGATAAATACTGAACAAGAAAAGAAGACAGACAAAGATGTACATCGAAAGCAGAAATAATATTACAGGGTCTCCTCAGATAGTGACCGAGTTCCATTCTGACTTAACAGGTTGTATGTGGAATTCATGTTTTTCAACACTGTTTTCATTTAAACTTTGGTTCCATACAGTCTGCAATACATGGTAGGGTCAAACAGACTCATGTCTAAACACTGCTGTGCTCTAGGCTTAATTTCCAGGAACCTGACTACCCTACCAATGTAGTTATCCGTCGTTACTATTTAAAAAAAAAAATGAATGTGCGTGTGTTATTAAGTGTCGATGGCCGTTAAGACATATAATTCGTTAAGTCAAGAGGAAATTATATAAGCAGCATCAACTTCATTAATGTTTCAGAAACAGAGAAGGGAGTCGTGGTTACCCATGTCCACACCAGAAGAATATAGTTCTGAGCAGATGTAATGTTGTAGTGACGAGTTCATTGTCTTAGCAGAGCACCTCGGTTTAAGCGTAGTCAGTAGCTCATAGCTTGCCTGCTGGCATCCAGTCGGTGAACCGGATGTCACCAAGACCCTGCTCTGTCTCCTAGTGGTGGTTCTGGGGATCAGGCCATATCTGTAGTCTAGTGGAGAGCATGGAGATTAACCCACTTGAATAGAGAACGAATTTCAGGTACACAAATTGCGTAATCTTGCTTTACATCATCATCATGTGGCTGTAGATTGGTGGGGAAAAAACCAGCCAAAATATCTTTTTACAGTAAAATAAACTGATCATTTTTCTATTTTTTTTTAAGATAATCCTGGAGGAGAGCTCTGCCTATTTGTGAAATACAGTTCTGCAATTTGAGTGACTCTTTGCCATTTTGTGACAAGATTTTCTAATACAGTATTTGACTGAATTGTCAGAAAGCCACAAGAATGATATTTTCACAAACCACCCATTATAGAAAGCGCACCCTGGTAAACATCAAGGACTGCGTTGTGAAACGATTTTTGTTAACTCTAAGCTACAGAGCCATAATGTTCAAAAATTACACCAACAGACGTATCTAACAGTTAACAGTACACACATAAAGCACATACACACACAAAAAAAAGTCTGCACAAACTCCTGTAACATAAAATACATACCTGCGACTGCCACTGCTGATAATTGAAATGCTGTCCTTTCAGTTTCAGCGATGTTTATGATGGAAGTTCATAAGAATTATCAAAGTCATCAGTCTAATCTAATTCCGCTGAAAAAACTCACTCATAATACCAGAAATATTCCATGATAAAAACATCTGCCTAGCGCATCACTGACATTAACTGACATTGACACTGTGAATTAACTATTTTAAAAAATTTGTCAGAATTTACCCTGAGCACTATATAGTTGTTTCCTTTAAAGAAACAGAGAAATGAACGGGAGATGGCTTCAGGCTACATTGATCTCAAAGGTTGCATTTTACTGTTATAGTGAGCTCCGAGTTGAGATTGCAGCTGGTACGATTAAAGTAGCCAAGCGTGTGGTAGTCATTGGATTGAATTAGGAAAGCATACCTGAACCAAACCAGTTTTGCTGAAGATATGTCTGCTGAAAGAATATCACAGCTCGGTTGAACAGTTAGTGGGTATAATATACACTTTAGCTGTCATTTTTAGAATGAAAATGAAGACAAAGTTGTGGCAAGATTTGTTTTTCTGATTGTATACATTGGTGTCACCTTATCGTTAGGTAGGTGCGGGATATGTTGACAATGAAAGGAGTGTGGGGAATAAGAAAGGCATCACTGGCCTCCTACTGTGTATCCTGGCATCTGTGAAGTCCTGCTGCTTCCCATTTCTCCATAGGATTACTATTTAAATGTCCAGCGATGAAAGATAGCAGAGAGCTATTGGGGATATTAAGAAAAAGTGGGAAACTTGATGGATGTTTTTACAACAGATATTACAAAACAAGTGAAAAAATACTGCAGATGTTTAGAAAAGTGAAAAATTAATGGAGATATCTAGAAAATATGAATCTGTTTTTTAAGAGATGGGTTTAATTAAGGACAAGATGTGCATTTTTTATTGTGTTACTTGCATGCAAACGTACCAGGTCGCCAGTTCTACAAGTGCTCGGGACAGAATGGAACAAATTGCAATTTTTTCCTTTGGGCTGATGAGAATGAGCCCCAGCAGCCAACTACAAGGTAAGTTCAAGTTATCTTTAATTTTAATTATAAATCTTTAAAAAAAAATAAAAAATACCAGTTTTTTTAAATATTAAAATTTTGCAGCAGCATTCTTCACTTCTTTCCTTTGGTTTTTCTATCATAACTGCTTCTGTGGATTGGTGAAATTAGGTTAGTTGCATATCCTTTACAGGTCGTTGCAGAACCAACCCCATTTTCTAGGCAAATTTACGTCCAGTAGTTTGCCATTGCTTTCTGGACGGTCAGCTTCTTTGATACCACTGTCGAAACCAACGCAAGGTGCATGGTCCGCAGCTGGGATCGATCCCGGCATTACAAAGCGTTCGCATCAACTTAGCCACAGAGCCGACTATTGGTGAAATACCTATCTTAAAAGTGAACTGAAACTTGATAGTCAATTTCCTAGGTGGACTTATTCAAAATCAAAATCTCTTTCGTCAGAAGTTGTCTACTTTAACCTCATTATAATTTCAATTCTGAAGCTGATCATGTAGCTTCCTGGTCATTCTGTTAACGCAGCTTTGTATTGAGCCACTCTTTAATTCCATTTATATCACACCATTTAGAAGAAACTTTTGGCTTCGCGGCTAGACGCTCGCTTGCGGATCTGAAGGTCGTTGGTTCGCTTCCTGGTGGAGCCGGACTTTTTAAAAAAATGACCTTGACTCGACCCAGCCTTGAGTGGGTACCGGGTGCAGTCCCAGAAAGTAAAGGCGGCTGGCGTGATGCTGACCACATCACCCATCTTGTGCCGTTTGGCCTATAAAAAAAAAAAGGTCTAGCCCTATACGCCTTAAGGCGTGGAAAAGAGACCTTTACTTTTACTTTACTTGTCTTTTTATAAATGTTTTCATTGGTCTACCCTTTCTTCTTTTCCCCAGGATCTCTAGTAGTCTTTTTGCTATATTATCATGTCATTGGGTGAGACTTCACATTGAAGACCTTCAATTTTGTATTAGATTTAACAAATATACCTTTTTCTCACATGTCCACTAAAAATAAAAACTTGAAATTAACTTTCCCTAAATCTTCAGTGAGACTGACAATCCTAAGTTGACCCTGGAAGAAAATACTGGGCGTGTAGGAGTTAATTCATTGTTTATTTTTCTCTAGTGACAATACAAGAGATATATACAACAGAAACAGCTTCAACCATCCCCAACACCGTCCAGGCAGTAGACCATCTACAAGCGAGGCAGTTGAAGTACAGTGCAAATGCGGGCTCCCAGCAAAATTGTAAGTCCACATTTTTGAATGAGTCAGCCTTATCTAGTTACTGGATCAGGGTATCTTGGGTCTCCATTGTGAAATTATAAAATTAGGGCCTTGTGCTTTTAAGGTCATTGGTTTATTCCCAGAGTGTAGGTTCTTCTTCTGCGTTCGATATCAGTCATGCTAAACATTGAGTCCCGTCTGGGTCACAAATAGGATTGTGCGTTTAAGGTCGCCACCGGTCCCCCATAGCTTCTCTTGCAATGTAGCTCCTTTGGGCCAGATCCACAGTCTTTGCTGGGAGAGGTAAGGGCAGTACTGCAGTATGTGTTCAGGGGTTTGTCTTTCTGCTCCACAATCACAAGCAGCAGATTCTTTTATGCCTATCCTGTACAAGTGTGCTCGAAGACCACAGTGTCCAGTCCGAAGTCTAAGAATTGATGTTTGTTCTTTCCTGTTGAGTTTGTTTATGCTGTCACTCTCTGGTCTGTAATCTCCATTCTGCCTTCTCCACTCCCGCTTGAAAGACTGCTTTAGCGCTGTTTTGGTTTCCTTGTAGCTGTGTGGTGGATGAGGTTGTGGAAGATTACTCCCAGCTTTTGCCAACTCATCTGCTCTCTCATTTCCTTGAATACCACAGTGGGCTGGTATCCACTGCAAGACCAGTTCTGCTTCCTTGGAGAGTAAGCCAAAGTTGTTCCTTAGATCAGCAATTATTTTGTCTTGTTTTTTGCTGGATAGTGCTTGGAGAACAGACAATGAGTCGCTAAGTATAACAATTTGGTGCCCTCTGTGTTCTTGAGTGATGAGATGTTGGACTGCAGAGAGGAGAGCAGTTGCCTCAGCTCTGAAGTTAGTGCAGATGTCACCTGCTGGTAGAGAGAGAGTTTCTGCTCTACTGCAAGGGGGTTTAATGTAAATTCCACAACCCCCCTTTCTGACTGCATCTGTAGCAGAGCCGTCGGTGAAAACCTGAGTCCAAGTGGTGTTTGGATACTTCTCATCAAGCATAGCAAGAGCCAGGGTTCTCTGTTGTGTCTCCGTCTGGGCATCTTTTGAAGTGATTCCTGGTACCTTTAGGACTACATTTGCTTTCTCTGGCTTGTTTGTCCATGGTTCTGGCCTAAGTTTTTCGCACAGTGCAACATCTCTTTCAAGCAGATCTTGGTGCTGTCTGTACAGTTCTCTAGCAAGGTGGTTGGGGCTCTGACGCTTCAGTCTGTTTTTTGTTCTCTCTTGAAATTTAAAATGCAGTGGGTGACTTTGAAGTCTTTTTAATTTCTCATACTGTAAAAGAGTTTTGTATTGTCTTCTGAGTTCGAGTGGTTAGGTATCTGCTATCTTTTCTATTTCTCTGATGGGGGTGGTTTTCATGGCTCCGAGAACAATCCTTAATCCCATATTCTGAACCTTGTCCAGTTTTCCCATTGTTGTCTTGGCTGCTGCAGCCCATGCAGTGGAGGCATATTCCATGACTGGCCTGACTGCTCCAGTATATACTTGTTTTAGAGTGTAGGTTCATGTGTGCAGCTATTTAGAAGACCTATAGAGGTCATCAGTGGAACTGTGGAGTTCATATTTTGTGAAAAACTCTGTGACCAGCTGCACCGCAGAATCAGACTGAGTGAGTAAGCCAGATGGGATAAGATCTGGTGTGATGAAGTCAGACATTTTATCTTTATTCACATTTTGTAAAGAACCAGTGGTGTTGCTCTTTGAGCAAGCAAACAGTTCCCTCAGGTTGGATTGACAAGAATGTTAGCTAAGTACCATGGCTGTATGCTAGCATACACCATGTTACAGACTGGAGACTCTAGAGGTCCTCGGATGTTGACCCCAGCCATTTAAATGTGATGTATTTTGGCTGCAATACAATTGTAATTTATGCAGTGCTTGTCACTTTTTAGTGTTTGCAAAGTTAAATAACATAACCACATGTGTGTGTATATGTGTTTATACATCTGCTGGTGACTGGGCTTGAAGAAGGGACTGAGAGGAAAGGAATAATGGAAGTGTGCTTTAGAACAAGGTTGGGAGAAAATTCTTGAAACCAACTTCACTCCGGTAGATGCACAGATTAAATGCACATGACTCGAGTGATCTGAACACCGGTATGTTGGATTTAAAAATTTAAAATAACAGTGATTCATATGATGTTGCTGGTCATAATCATTCAGTCAAATACTCTCTCCACAGTCAACATTGGCTGCAATGAATCTCCAACACTCTTTGCTCTCGTCTCAGTTGTACACTCCCTGAGTCTGTTGTTTCCATCTCTTGATATTATCCTCGAAACTTGTGGTTGTCACATATGCTTAATTATTCGTTGTCATCGTTTATATGGGTGTTACTTTTTATTGGGACTGTTCTTTTCTCTTGAAACATCTGTTCGGCTACTGCAGTCCTTGATCTTTTTTTCCCCAACTCCTCAGAGAACATTGTCCGTACTTACCTTACCCAAAAAGGGTAACTTTTGTACTTACTGAATGGCCTTTTTCATCACTTGTGCAATATCTATCAGATATCTATCTGAGGATGGTAGAGTCCTGTAATGAATGTACTGTCTCTTCCACACTTGATCTCTCTAGTGCAGATTCAACACTGACTCTGTTGTCTAGGTGTTAGGTCACAGCTCATTCTAACCAGACGGCATTTCTCTCCACGGCCACACAACTTCAAATGACGGTCGACACCAGCTGACACATTTCATAGGTTTATTGTCACTGTAGCACAAGACACGAATCAACAGATGAACCAACTTACGCCATTCTAGCAATCTCGCCTTGCTCACGCATTAATGCTCCAGACATGCTTCAGACAATGGACACTGGCATGTACACGGCTGGCTCAACAATTAAACCGTGTAACACAACGGCTGGCCTAAATGATCATTCAATAGCGCTGCCTGTCTAATCGTTCAGCGCTAACATTCATTCGACTGTGATTCAGATCCACGTGCACTCTTCATTCTGGATTCACCTTCACAGATTCACCTTCACATCCTTCCAGTCTGGGGCCCAGTCACCGAATGACCACCTGATTCTCAATCCCCCAGATCTCACATTCACACGTGACTCACTCACTCTTGTCTTTTCACCATATCTCTGTGAAACCCATTTTATCAGGGACTTACCCAATTATGCCAGTCATCCCCTGACGTTATCCCTATTTATAGCATCATTACAAGTCCCTAAGGACGTCCTTTATGTTGAATTAAAGACTGGTGAAGATATCTAGGCTGACCTCTACTGCAATATTAGGACATGTGCAAGCGGGGCATGAATGACACAGGTATTGAGGTGGATTCATGGGGAAAAAATGCCATGGACCATGTTGTGTGGAGGAGGCACATCAGGAAGGGAATAGGAATGAAGAAAGAAATGATTGGAGAAGGGATGAGAACTGAGTGTCTGAGAAGAAACAGACTAAACACAAATGTTGACAACAATGGTCCTGAAATCCCATGTTATCATTGTGGAAGACTTTTCTTAATGCAAGCAGGTTTTGCTAGAATCACCATGGGCTGTGAGTCCGTGCCTCCTCATAGCGCAATATAACATTTGAAAAAACGTGAAAGTGCCAATCAATCAAAAATTAGGAAAAATATTTTTTTATGTGGAAAAAATACTAAACAGTATTGTTCATATGTACATGTTGAGCGGTCTTTATTACGAGTGCTGTTCTAACAGATAATCAAGGTAATAAAGGCCTGACATCGTAGTGCCTGGTCTACCTAGACTGGACATTTCTCTCTGGGCAGGATCTGCCAAGCTACTTTCATAAATATTGATTGTGCTGATGCATTGAATGAATAAATTATCACACCCAGATGCAGTAATGTTATAGTCTGCTCCATTTTGTTGAAAAGTCTCATTCTAAACAGCATTTGAATTGTGTTCCAGCTTAACTGTTCAAAAACAAGGCCCTAACAATGGCAGACAATTTTATGGATGCAGCAAGCCACGAGATCAGTCTTGTAACTTTTTCCAGTGGGCAGATGAAAGTACTGGTGGTAAGTCATAATTTTATTTTATTCCTGTGTTGCTTTCTAAGACCACTTTGGTAATTTTCTGTTACTGTTCTGTGTTGTTAATTACATCCCTTTAGCTTCTTGCTACATCTCGGCTATCAGCAGGGTAATAACTTTCATAACCCATAGCTGATGTTTTGGCAACAGCTATTATTAGCTACTTCAGTGAAATTTTTAAAATGCCCTCTACACCAATAAAACCAGCACAGTTAGATAGCTGTAAACAATCTCTTTCTAATGGTACCTCATTTAGGCTTGTATGTCATTTCTGAGCTGAGATATGTAGGTTTTTGTGGAGATGAGATGTAAGAAACAGCCGCTAAAACTTGTGACCCAGAAACAAGAAGTTTTTCACTGCGCAACCTACTGCGCAGTTCTGTATCGGCTTTGTTGACATTGGACTGTCATTGGACAAGATGGCAGGCAGTGAGACTCAGCTCACTCAGCCGCATGTGATTGCCTAAAAAATGTCACTGTACATCTACCTAGCCACGTACCAGAAAATTTTTTTTATACACAAATGTAAAATTGGACAGAGAATTCAATTATAACTAGCATTACCAGGTACAGTAACAGTTAAAGCCTAAAGCCAACCTCGAATTTACCGCAATTTTCAATCAAACTGATGACTAAAGAAAAACAGAGAACGTCCGGCTTTCGTAGACATGCGCTGTTAATCGAGTTCCTTCCCGCCGTTTTCAGCTATTAAGAGTGGGTGAAAACCACACCAATCGCAAAATTTCATGAGAGATTAGGACCCATCCCGAAACCCCAGCCGACATTTCCGAAACAAGTTTTAAACGGTTTCTATGGTAACGGAAATTGTCGAAAAGATCGCAAATTTCCGAAATTGTAGTGCCTACTATTATTTTAAAAATTGCATAGCTACTGAAAGTAACAAAATTTTTACATAGAAAATCCTTATAATTTAATGAGTGAATTTGTTCAGATTACACACATTACCTTAGGTTCAACCAATCAGTTGACAGTTCTTTTGCATCTGAGGCATCTATAGTTTTTTTGTGTCATACTGGCTTTCCCACCAACTAATAAAAATGTGTCATCAGAGAACTATGTGTTTCCATTATTGTTATAGTTCAGTGATTCCGAAACTGTGCGCAGCGGCGCCACGGGGAGCCGCGACCTTTCTACAATGGCGCCGGGAAATATTGTAAAAGCTTTATAATTAATTTAACCAAGACACGAATAGTCATACTTTTACTTAGGTTAGGGCGCTGTGGACAGATTTTAATTGAAAAAAGTCGCTGCAGCCAAGAAAAGTTAGGGAAACTGTTATAGTTGATGAAATTAGCAACATTTTTCTCCCCATGTCAGTTTCCAGTACTTGATGCTATTTATGTGCTTAGTCAAGCTAAGGCTAAATAGAGATGTACTCTTTTTATCAGAAGATAAAGAATAGACACACACACACACACCCCCCCCCCCCCCCCCCCCCCCCAATAGAATGTTGTGAAAGTTAACTAAGTAGGGATATTTACTTCAAAGTTGGAGTGCATCTGTCTGAGAGGTGAGGAACCAACAATCTGCATGCAAATAAGTCAGATCTGTAAAGCGGATGTGTTTGCCTAACTCTGATTCTGGAGTAAGGCCAAAGTCCAGAAGTGGACGGACAGCCAGAACTTTCCTCCCAAGTTTACAACTGGCAAACGTTTAGAATGTTTAGAGAAGTAAGCACAGTAAAATACTGGGTTTTCCCAACCTTTACCTGTATGATACTGAAAGGAAAGTAGATAAAATGTATTCAAAAGAGATCGCAAAAGAGGGTAAACTACCTAGTAATATTGTAATAAAATGTAAGCACAGTCTTTACATTAAGTTTGATTAATAGTGCTCAGGACAGTCCCATTAACTCTTTGAGTCCCAAGGAACGCATCATACATTCATAAATTCCTACTTAGAAGCCCCAATGATGCACCGATCTTACGTCTCTCTAGACTACCCCTTGGGCCTGTGATGCTAAACCCGCTGGGACTCAAAGAGTTAAGTAAACAGAAGAATCACATGGTTTATCTTAGACTTCCTTGTTGAGACTACAGTGTAACAAGAGACAGTATAATATTGTTATTTTAGAAAAAAAAAAGGGATTAAAATTGTGTGCTTCTATAGGTTGATGTTAATTCTATAGCATTTATGCACATAATAAAATACACAACAATGTTTGTAGTAATTTACGCAGTATATTGTTTGTGTCCTCATTGTTCAGATTTTTCCATCTTTCCTGGTACCCATTTTAAGCTGAGTACAACATGGAAGAATTTTTTTTGTTTTTTGTTTTTGTGTGTGGGATGGGGGATAATTGAGAATATAGAGAGATTTGACAGCTGCCTGTTGAAAAGGAGAAATGTGCACTAAGAAGTACTCTAAAAGGGTAAATGCACACTGAAGCAAAATGACAATTAAGATTCCTGTCAGGAAATAAAATGTGAAAATAATCTTGATTTTCCAGGTGAATCAAAGCACCATGCCACAAAGCTTAGGTTTCAAGCCAACAGCAATGTCGTGCTGTTGTGGCAGAGTCTCAATTTCTAGGCTCGGAGTTGTCTGTTTTTATACAGTTGCCTAAGCTCCTGTTTTTTCCCATCCTAAACAACTCTCATTCAAGGGATGTCAAACTCCACTACTAGGTGTACAGTGTATTCACTAAGCACATGTCTATCAGGATGAATGATTAGACATCTGCCTTGCCTTGATTACATTCCCAGGGTCCACCAAGCTGGACATAGCTTTGTGTGACCCTGACAACTTCATAACTTCCTCCCCATCTGCTACCTGTCAGTTGCTGTGACACCTGGTCCAGATCAGTCCACTGACACCTCCAATCAACAGGTGTAAACACTATCCCATGGCCTGTCCAAGAAAGACAATCTCCAGAGAAATAATATCTTTTTTTTTATCAGGGGTTACCTGCCCTTAAGGTTCTAGCCTCTATAATTATCCCCTGATGTCCCCTGATAGGTGGAGATAAAAATGTTATAATCATTAAGGTAGCTAACCCTTTTACTTTTTTTTAATGCTTAGAAATCAGTACCTTTCTCACCTGTCTAATAGAAAACTTCTTTTTCACTTCACATTTTTTCAAATCATCAGATGAATAATAAAGATAGCTTATTATTTTAAACAACTTTGCTTCCTGTAACTAGATATTGCATGTAGTTTTTCTTGAAGTAATTGTTTTAAATCTGTTTATTGTTGCTTACTGTTTATTATATATATTCAATGGGGACAAATTCTGTTTATGCAACAAGCACCATGCTATAAGATATCGGGATAGACTGTTGGCTTCTTTGAGGCCCGAATTTCCCGTTATTTTTCTCATAGCATAAGGATAATATTCAATGAAATGAGAGGTGACTTTTGATTTAGAGTTACAGGTTCATGCAGAACAACACCATGGTCAATCTGCTCAATACCCATTCCCTGCCATGAACCTGGCCAAAATTGATAGGATCGAGTGTTTCCTTCAGAGTGCATTTGCCTGAGAGGCAAGGAACCAGCAGTCTGCACACCAATAAACCAGATCTGTAAAATGGCAGTGCATACAACACTCAAGTTCTAGAACAAGACAAAAAGTCCTGAAGTGGACAGACAACAAGGAGTTTACAGCCTGTGAATGGTAAGAAGAAGAATGCCATCCGCATACCCGAGGACAAGCTTGTGATACAGCTATGTGTGAATCGTTGTCTTACTGGGATCCATGTCAGAAGCAAAACAACACACCAGATGGCAGATTATCAGTTGTAAATACTACTCTAAAACAAGTGCGGGCAACACTCAAGTCCTGAAACAAGTCTAAAGTCCAGAAATAGATAAATAATTGGGGCTTCAGCCGGTGAAGCTGAGAAGAAAACTATGCATACCTGAGGACAAGCTTGTATTACTATAAACCGTGTGTGGGGGGGGGGGGGGGTGCAGCCACATGTGTATTATTGTGTCATTATGACCTATCTTAAAAGTAAAGCACCACACTAGATTCAGAAATCATACTGTTATTTCTCAGTTGAGGAATGCTACTTTAAATAAAGATAGCAGAATCTGCCATTGGGATCTGAAGTGTTTGGCTTTCACACATTCTAGGCCATGTCTAGTAAAGTGACGTGGCCAGTTCTCTGACTCATTGCCTTTCCTTCCCAAACAATTTTGGAAATTATTTGCTGAGACAGGGTTGACCCCAGAGCCACACACAGGTCAGCATGTGCTATGTGGAATCATGATCTGATTTCTCCATGATGTAAATTCTCAATAATGATCTCACATACACAACTGGGTTATGAACTAGAAAGGGGAAGGAGAGCTCTGTAACATTGTCCCTTTGGAGATTATATTTTGATTCTGGCCCAGAAGAACCAACCTCTCTTTGATAAATGCATGGATTAAAACAAATGACCATATATATAGCACCATATATAAACAACAGAGGAGATATCCCTACCCAGTCAGCAATTAGAGGCGAACACTACAGTGAGATACAGTGATAATGTTTTAATTTGTTGGTTACCACACATTCCTAGATTACTTCACCTGCCTGCAGGAGACTAAGTGATGAAGAAGGCATCAGTCACCGTTCTTACTGTGGTGAAGACATGAAGCCTTCTGATTTGTTAAAAAAACATTGCATACTGTGAGATTTAAAAATTCACAGCAACTTCCTATTATAATGGTAATTATTTCCAAATCATCGGCAGTCTCTGTGACATAAGGCACTGTTCCTCACTAGCGGCCCACTGAGACAGGGAATTGTTGTATGATGTGTAGGATGCCACTTTGCTGGAAACACATAGCTGCTACATGAGTTATTGCCCTCAGTCCCAGCCCAGGTTACGCAGCTGTCAGGTGCAATTATATTAGTTTTATGCGGTTGAATGGAATTTGAATCTCATCCTTGCGGTGTTAAATCTTACAGACAGCAATCATAGGAGAGGAAAAACTACCTACTCTGCCCTGCTAAATGACTAGGCGGATATTTTTGCTGCCACATCAGTTGAAAAACACTGAAGGCGGTTCTTAACCATTACATCTGACATAACTGTACTGATGCAGTTAATGATACCAAAATAATTTCTGTTTTGTGAGCTGGAGGTATTGTTCTAGGCCTGTGTGTTCCGTACTCAATAAATGATGTGCTTAGAATGATGCTATTTTACGACACAGAATTTAAAAAAAAAAAGTATCCCACCCCTTAGATGAAAACGTGGAAATGCTCAGCCAGGAGACAGATGCACTAGCCTAAATGCCAGTTGTTTTTGTTTCCATCCAACATGTAGAGGCCTAGCAAGTAGCCTGCGGATCATTGCCAGTTGTATTGTGTTAATGATCTTTCTGTGCTGGTATTCAGATCTCTGGCCCACAATAGTCCCCATTTTTAACATTTTGGTCCCTGGGTAAACCGAATAGCCCTGCTCTATGCTATTGTGAATCTTAGCCTAAATATTTTGAATGTGTATTGATAAACATTTGGGAGATTATAGAAAATAATTGACACAGACAGTGATAATACTAATTGTAACATTCTGTATAAATTTTGTTACCTTTTATTTTTTTATTACCCAGGAAATGGCAGTCAAACATTTGCAGATAGGAGAGCAACAAGTGACTCGGGACCAGCGCCATTTCAGCCCAGAGTGGGAGTAGCGCCCAACCGAAAACGGTCAGCAGCATCTGACAATGAGGGTGGCCCGAGACAGAGAAAACCTCCTACTTGTGGACTTTGTGGGCAGCCAGGTAATTTATCTACATTAGATGATAAGTGTGTTGGTCTGAAAAGTGCAGATATCACAGCCTAACTGTAAACCACAACACACCATGCCAGCCGCCTTGTTAAAGGCGAATGAGAAAGAAGAAGATAAGCCGAGTTCATTTTCTAGCTCATTCAGTTATTTTATTGTTGTTCAATATTTCATAATAACAGAGGAGTGGACCGTCATCATACTGCAAGATAAGACTACAATAGAAACGTCATGCACCTCTGGTAGACTCTCAACAAACTTTAGAGCAGCAAGCAATTACTGATGCAACCAAAGTGCTTGAGGAAAGAATAATTGAAAACAGCAAAATTGTTTTCCTCTGTGACTGCATGTCAGTAACCTAGGCAACTCAGAAGGATCCACAAGACAACAAGGAAAGAGCACTGACCTGCCAGCTAAACAGGCTCTCAGAAAACTATCGAATCATTCTCCAGTGGATCCCGGCTCACTGTGGCCTTTCAGGAAATGAGTTAGCAGGCAGACATGCAAAAAAATAGAACAAAGGAGGAACAACAACCCCATTCATTGTTATTACCAGAAATCGGAACACTTATCAAGGGAAAATACAAGGGATTGTGGAGAGAACAAACCAAACATCCACAAGACCCCATCAGCAGACTCAACAGAAAGCCACATACAACTGTTTTCCGTCCACAAAGAGGACACTGCCGGCTCAACTGCATAAAATGCACACATGCAGAGTTGAGTTAAGAGTTGACACTACAGGACCCGTTGTCTCCCTGTCAGGCATGGTGTAAAAGGTGACTAGGGATTTTCCTGAGATACGCAGAACTAACAGTCTGCATACTAATAAGCAGATCTGTAAAATTGAAATGCACACACAATTAAAGTTCTGAAACAAGGCCAGAGTCCTAAAATAGACAAACAACTAGAACTTTATCCCAGAGTTTACTGTCAGTGAACGCTAAGAAGATAGTAATTTTCTTTTTTTTTTTTTTTTTTTTTTTTTTTTTAATGTGTATATATTTTCCCTCTAATTTGTAACAAAAATCGAATTAACTGAAAATACATTTTAAAACTTCAGATGTTGGTCAGACGTGGAGGTCAGTGCTCTAGTTTATCAATGCAATGCTCTAGAGTTGCCTTTCTAGTAGTAACAGCACATTTATCAGAATTCTGGGATCCGCAGAGACTCATGAAATTGTTGCTAGAGATTTTCTGGGAATGAAAGACAATGATAAAGGGAGATGGTCACCTTACCTTATAATCGGTGTGCCTTAGTCGAGAGTTACCTGTGTTCCAGGCTGTGAGAAGAGTCTACACGCAAGGTTTTCGCAGCTAATATATATCGGACATCTGAGATAAAACTAAGCCTTTCTGAGGTTCATAACTATCCTATCAAAGTGTAGTATGTGAGGGTACTTCTAAGTTTTTACCCTTATCCCAGATAACTAGCAGTCAGATCCACTACCCTAGGACCACAAGGTGTAATCAGTTTTGACTTCATAGCAAATGGGTCACCCTACAGTTGCTCCATTCCTGTGCCAGTGAAAACTACACAGAATGTCCAACACTGACCCTTGTGAAAGATTTGGCTGAGACTGCAGTCTCAGCAAGTCTGATAGGATACACATGCATTAAAAATACAGTTCATTATCAGCAGGAACTGTAGGTACCGCAAATTAGTAGTTGCACGCGTGATTTATCACCTAAGGCTCCACCAGTTCTGTAGCAACAGGCCACTCACCATTTTCTGAATCTACAATTCACCACACAAACCACATTGGGCACAGTCAAAAAGCATCTTAGTGAAATCCACAGCTCACAGTTTTGTGCCATGCACTCAGCTCAGTAGCTGGACGTTGAAACACTATCCTCTCAGTCTATACATATGGAGGGAAATGCAATGGCTAGCTATTGTCAGAACTGAAAACTTACTACATCTAAAACAATAAATCTGCGTATCCTCCATATTGACCGCCACCAGGAGAAGTATACCATTCTTGGGTTTAGTGTTGTGCAGGGGTCCATACAAATATTTTATTGGTCTTACAGAATGAAGAAAAGAGAGATCAGAGATTTCCAGACTGTGTCCTGATACATTAGTATGAAGTTGTGTTAAAAAAATGTTAAGCTATTTTCATGTCCAGATCTCTGAATTACTGTGTCCCAAAATTATGTTTATCTAAAAAGTGTCCTCAGCATGAAAAGTTTTGAAGCTCTGCTGTAGACACTCCAGGGTTGACCATTGTGGCTACTGTACTTTAACAGTTGGTACAAGGAATGCAGTTTGAAATTTTTACACTCGTCAACACATATTTTCATCTTATCTCTATACCCTGTTCTGCTTTTCAGCATCAGGTTTTGAAAAAACATCTAATGGAAGCCTTGGTGTGTGCAGCATTGATGCTGGTTTTCATGGCCTTAGATATTCCTTACATCCATCGCTTGCATGGGCAACCCCTGTCTGTGCTTTGCATCTGATTGTCAGGGCTCTCTTTGGAGCACTGTCCTGTGGCAGTCTTGACACATGTCTGAACCATTTGACCTGTTGCCTCTTGATGTAGGGTTAGCCCTAGTTCCATCCCCACTCGTTTCCTGATTTTGTATTTCTGATTGATCCTGTCTTTGCTTGATGTTTGCTTTACATAGTGTTCTTAATGTTATACCTGAATACAGAAGAAGAAAAAACAAACACATACGCATGCGCACCCACACACAACTATATTGTTGTTCATAATTGTATACCTGACTACAGAGCAAGAAAAGAACACTTTCTCTTTCTTTATTGTAGTTTATAAATGTATAAAGAAGCACAGACATGTATGGAGTCTGCTGCTACATGTTTTTTTATGTTTTTGTTTGTTCGTTTAGGTCACAGAAAGAACAAATGCCCGGAGAGATCAGACAGGTTCTAGAAGTGGCGAGAGATTTCAGCAACTGTGATAACATTTTAAACTTTTTCATCAAAGAACTGCAGTAAATTATACTGTTATACCGCGAATATGTGAGCTGGTGGTTCGTCCACTCCTGGGCTTTGGTCTTGATCCAAAACTTGAGTTTTAGGTGCACATTCATTTTACAGAAATGGCTTATTTATACGCAGACTGTTGGTTTTTGTCTATCAGGCAGATACGCCTTTGAAGGAAACACCTTAATTTGTTGCTTCCTATGACATGCAACTGGGGGGGGGGGGGGGGGGGGAGAACAGTAGATCTATACTTTGTACACTATTATAAAGCTCTGGAACCCACTTGGAAAAGTATATAAAGAGACTTATGCATCCACTGGTATCTGTGGTTGTCTTTTGTAGTGCTCATCGAAAGCTTTTGCCTATCAAGACTTTATATCTGTATTTCTGCTAAAATAAAACATGTTCTAAATACCCCAGCACCCAAGGGTGATAAGGAAATAATCAGCTGCTTCATACACAGAGCTGTATGCCCAAGGCAGAAGATAGGAGCTTGAAATGACAGTTTGTATTTAAATCAGCAATATAGTTGCTGAATTGATTTTTTTAGTTAGAGTAAGCTGTAAAATGTATTGAGTCTGTGAGTGAACTGTGTACAGTAAATAAACATGATGTCAGTTGACTGGTGTTATTCTTGTATTGTACTTCATTGGCCTAGGTTCTGGGAACACTCCAGCTGCTCTATAGTTTGAAGATGGAGACAGGGAAGAAAAGGAAGTACTAGTACAAACATAACATTCCCATGTTGCTTCTCCTCTGCCTTACCCGTGAGAGTAGACATGGAGACCTTCGTGTCATCACTTTCTCTCTGTCTTTTACTAATGAACTGAATCGACTTCCTTCCAGGACCTTGTTAGACCTCTTTATGATTGGTTGCGTGTTGCAGCTACACTCGTTTAAGGCATGTGGTAGCTATCAGCCATCCTTAGACATCTTTTCTTTTTTCTCCTTCTGCATGTGCCCCTAAAAGGTAGGTTGATATCTTATGTTGTGGTTTACAGCTAGGCTGCCTTATCTGCACCGCTTCACCCAACACATTTTATCTGATTGCAGCAAATCCCTAATTAGCCATCTTTTATGCCCCCTCCCCAGGTGGGTAATTAAAACCCATATGGTTATTCACATTACGACACTGTTGGCACTAAGTTTTTACTGTTCTTTGCGACCCTGGTAACAGAGAGGCAAACTATTCATCTAAACCAGCGGTTCTCAAGCTTTTTTTTTCCGTCGCGGTAACCTTGTCAGGTAAAAAAAAATTTTTTTTTGCCTACCCAGGAATACATAGGGAGAGAAGAAACAACAGTGCACATTTAATGTTCATTGTCTTTAATGCGATAAATAAAAGTGGATGAATTTTTCATTATTTCCTTTATGTATATGGGAAGTTCATTGAGTTTTACCCTCAAATCACTTGACTTGGAAAGTTTGCTCCTGTATATGTTTTTTATGTAAGTGTACATAGAGAATTCACTCCAGCCTTGCCAATAGCATTGTCTTCTGAATACACATGCATCCAGAACTCTTCTTGGCTTCCTTCACGGGATTTCTGTTTCAAACTGCTGTAATCGCTTTCTCAAGTTGACCTTAAAAAATGTTTGATTACTGCCGCAAAACCCCTGAAATGCCCTCGTGGCATCCCCTGGGTGCTAACTCAACCATCCATTGCTTAGTGAGAAATGATACTATCAGATAGACTGTGGGTACAACACCTTGTACCAAATTCAGTGAGAAGCAGATCAACTAGTCTGATCATCTCGTTATAATGCCGCCACCACAGCTACCAACATAGGGGCTACAACTAAAAGGATATGATGAGAAAGCACACAGAAAGAAGATGAACTGATGAAAAGACATTCTGCGTATGCAAGGAACGACTTTAGCCAGTGCTACCCATCGACCATAGACTGCAATCTGTTACTCTCTGAGGCTTAACAGCAAAGTTGAGGATGATGATGACAACAAGAGTCACAATGCATATAAATGTATCTGTACGCCTTATGGGGAAAGGTGTAAAGTTAGTTTTCTTGTTCGTGAAGCATGTCCTAGGAGGTAGATAAACAATACAACACACAAATTACCAACCTTATGTCAGCCCATCATTTTATAACTTTTTTTTTTAATGCAATCAAAAGTATGCAACATAACAAATGAAAGACAAACTGTAATAAATCACAAACATAATTGCTCGCTTTTTCTAAGCATAATTATGTTTAATAAAAATTACATTTTGTGTCTAAATTACATTAAGTTTGAGACATACATACAACTGGTCTCATATGTGAACATATTTGAACCACATGTTTGTTTATGTTCTTAAAACAAAGTACAGGTTCCCTGTATGAGTTCCAGGGCCCAGTTAAGGAGGGGGGGGGGGGGAAGAGGAGGGTGAGAATAGACTCAATTCTCTTTATTAAACATGTTGTGAAAGATTACAAATTAAGGGTTTGTTTAAATCAGATTTGTTAAATTGAAAGGGGCAGATACCACAGCCAAGCTGTAAACTGCAAAACAAAGTGCCAATCTCTCTTTTAATGCAGATGATGAAGTACAAGTGCCTATTCCCACCTTGAGTGGTGCTGAGTGTCTGGTACTGTTCCATATTCTGCACTGTGTGTGATGGGGGCAATATGTTGACCATCTATACAGAACATTTCCTGGTAGCCATATTAGAATGGGTTGACCTTGGAACCCACATCAGTTTTTAAAATATTCCTCTCTCACAATGGGAATATGAACAACAGGTAACCGTGGGTCCTTCCTCAAAGTACATTGTGGCAAAAAAGGAAAATACAAGAAGCTTGGGTTAAAACAAGATCTCACGTGGAAATGTTAAATCGCAAAATCTGAGGAAACAATCGCCATATATATTAGGAAAATATACATAAGAGTGTACAAATACATTTTCAATCTGAAATTTAGTGCAAAAATACACAGATGATGAATAGTTTATATTCAGATTTCTCTGTTACTCCTTTTTACCTAACGAATGAGGGCAAGCAAAATTTGCTAGGCAGAAGAAACCTGGCATAAACATACTTGATTCATCACACCAAAGTTTTGTAGGAGGAGGAACCCTTTCTTTTACACCCACAGTGGAAGAGAGGGGGGGGGGGGGGGGGGCAGGTTTGCTGACAGATGTCCAAAGAATATCTTGCTGAGATTAAACTGGAGTACATTTTGCAAGGCACCATAGTGGTTAGCAAACATGCTGACTAACACTGGGGTCCAGGTCATAATATTCTCGAAAGCACAACAGTCAAGATTGGTGCTGATAATTGTGTAATAAAAGGTCCCTTTTACACGCATTGGGCGTATGAGGCTAGATTCATATTTCTAAATACCAGTCGTAGGCAACATCACGCAAACCTTTACTTCCGAGGACTTTACCTAGTACAAATATAAGGCCGGATCTACCTGGGAGCCAAGGTCATGTCTTTAAAAAAAAAAAAAGGTTCCATGTGGATTTGAACCCAGGACCTTCGGATCTACATGCGCGCGTCATTATGTACATGTGAAACTCCAATGTAAAAATAAAAATAATCACTTATTTTGTTGTTTCCCTACTTAAATAATGGCATATTTATCTCTACACAAACACCAACTGACACATAGGCCTAATATTTTGTGAAGCCGTACCAGGAAATATATTCTAGATCACTGTTCTCCGACCTTTTTACACCGCGGCCCACCAAAACAAGGGGAAACTTTTGCCACCCACCTCACAGTCAGTCAATCACAGAAAGAAACAAACATGTAGACAGCAGTTTGAGTGTGAACCCCAATGTCACATGATTACAAGTTTCAGCTGGTGCAGCATCTTGCATTCCTTGCCCTCAATGCATTAATCATATAGACTGCAATCCTGGATGATAAAAACTACTTATTCTACCCCGTTATTTGATGATTATCAAGACATTTTTGGCAGCCCACCTTGACTTCTCTCTAGCCCACGGACCACCAGTTGAAGATCACAGTCCTCTATCAGCACTTTTGAAACCTACCTTAAACTGAGCCAATCTCTTTATTTCTAACAATCCTTTTTGTTTAATGACTGAGTAGGCTTGCATCTCTTCTTCACTCACAAAATTTTGTAATTACAGACCGGTGTGTCCTTCTTTCTCTGAGTTCACCGGCTGTAAACTCTGGTGGAAAATTCTGGTTATTCGTCCATTTCTGGACTTTGGTCCTGTCCCAGAATTTCATATTTGCAGGCACATCCATTTTACAGATCTTGTTTTTGTTTGTTTATCTAGCAGACTTGATTCCTTGCATCTCAAGCAGATTTACTCTGATTTCAAAGGAAACACCTTTAAATAAGCCGACTTCTATGACATGACAGTTGGGGGGGGGGGGGGGGGGGGGGGGGGGGGGGGGGGGGGGGGGGGGGGGGGGAGTGGGTCTACACCCCCCCCCACCCACCCACCCAATGTCAGTGACCCCAAAAATGGGCCCCTGGAACCAACACGGGAAGTGGCATATCCAATAACAATTATTTAAATCACTGCAACATTTACATAGCAATAATACAGCATCTACATTATGCAGAGGTCATTAAAGAATGACAATAAAAGAACATACAGAATGCAGAGATGTGTGTGTGGGAAGAGATAAAGACAATAAATGGTTACTGTGTGTTCTGGCCATCTGTGATGTGGTTACTGTGTGCTGGCCATCTGTGACGTGGTTCTTGTGTGTGTTGGCCATCTGTGACGTGGTTACGGTGTGTTTTGGCCATCTGTGATGTGGTTACTGTGTGTGTGTTGGCCATCTGTGACGTGGTTACTATGTGTGTTGGCCTTTTTTAAAACATTCTGTTATCTCTATACATTGGGCTGGAGTTTGTTAACAAAAAGATACATAGAACTCATGAAGGAAATTGCAATTTCTGACATAAACCAACAACAATTATTGATCCATGCTTTATCCATACTTGATATTCATATTAGTGGTTAGTTGCATATCCTTTACAGGACGTTGCAGAACCAACCCCAACAGCCCCTGGCTGTTGTCTGGTTTTTCTAGGCAAATTTACGTCCAGTAGTTTGACATTGCTTTCCGGACGGTCGGCTTTCTTGATACCACTGTCGAAACCAACACAAGGCGCATGGCCCGCAGCTGGGATCGAACCCGGTATCCCGGCATTACGAAGCGTTCGCATTGACTTAGCCACAGAGCCGACATTGATATTAATATATTATAATATGAACATAACATGCTTTACAAGTAATTTGCAACTGCAGTATAAAAGATGAGTGTTTGAAAGGGCCGAGTGTGAGATCCTGTGTGCTCAATTTGTGAGCCTTCGAAAGTGAAGTTTGTTCGATCATTCATTCAATATACATCCTAACATACTTCTGCAGACCTCATATGCTCACTGCATTAGGAACACCAATGAAGCGGTGATGGTCACACAAGACTACTTACTGCACATAAAATATGTAAGGCATCCAATGTGACTATCTTTTCTTTGTTCCTAGCTTGGCTTCTCGTAATTGTCTGACCTCATTCTCATGGAAGTGGGAAACTGCAGACTGTTCAGCAAGCTGAAGAAATCAAACCACACCATTAAACTTATTGTGTATAAAACTGATCACCATACATTCATTTAAAATTGTCTCCTAACATGGTACAGTCGAGTCCACTTAAGTCAAACTCAGATATCGAATTTCAGTTAAGTTGACATGACCAGCTTAGTCCCAGCAATTTTCTCTATTGTGTGTGCTGTCTGGATAAGTAGAAATCCTGATAAGTAGAAGAGTTTTCTTAGGTTCCTGCGACTTCTACTTATCCAGACTCGACTGTAAACATTTAAAAAAAAAAAATTTAAGGAAACAACCCTTTCATTCATTTATTTTAGACCACTAAGCCCTCAAAGGGTGATGTAGTAAACATGATGCTGGCTGCCTTTACTTCCCAAGACTCTTTAAACATCTGAACAGAACAGACCGATACAGTTTTTCGCTTACACACTGGAGACTGTAGACTCAACAAACACTTAAATAAATTAGGTATGAGCCAGATAGCTCTCTACCAGCGTCCTCATGGTGAACAGACTCCAGAACATGTCTTGCAAGCTGTCCTCTCTTGGCAGAGCTGTGAAGCAACATGTGGCCACACCAGCAGACCTTAGAACTAAGCTTTGGGAAAATCTAAGAGACCTTGGTATGACATCCCAGTTTATGGCCCACAGTGGATTAAGCTCATGACCAGAGATCGCTGAAGAAAAAGACTTCCCAAGACATTACTTGGCACTCATGTTAGGCTGGATCAACCTAGAAGCCAAAATCAGTTTAAAACAATTTCATAGGTTTGGGTCCCTGAAAGCACAGGACCTGAACACTTCTTTTTATGACCAGCTTGTTCCTTTTGCTACATGATGCTACATGATTTGTTATGTTTCATGATCAGCCCATCCCTAATTTGGCCACTGCTCCATGATTTGTTGTTTCATGATAGCCCATCCCTAATCTGGCCAATGCTCCATGATTTGTTATGTTTCATGATAGCTCATCCCTAATCTGGCCAATGCTCCATGATCTGTTATGTTTCATGACAGCCCATCCCTAATCTGGCCAATGCTCCATGATTTGTTATGTTTCATGATAGCTCATCCCCAATCTGGCCAATGCTCCATGATTTGTTATGTTTCATGATAGCCCATCTCTGTTTTTGGCCATGATGTGAAATGCACCTCCATAGATGTAAAGATCCAGTGCTGGTCTGGCACAACCTGCAGATTTATAAGCTTGCAAAAAGGAAAGTGGAAGATCTACATCACAGTCTCTGTGGAGATAGTAGACAAATACAACGTCGGGATGAAAATCTCTACACCAACTATGATAGGTGCAAAAGAAGGAAGCTAGTTTACTTGTAAACTACTGGTTCGCTCACATGCCCCCCCTCCCAAATCATTCTAAGTGCAAGAGGAGAGAGCTGGTTTACATGTAAATTACTGGTTCGCACACCCCCTTCCAAATGCTAGCTTCACTAGAAAACATCAGACAGTGGTCACCTCCCCATACTTGCTTCACTTGTACACCATCAGAGAGTAGGTGTCTCATATTAGAGTCACTTGTACATGATCAAAGAGTAGTCTTCCTATACTAGCCTTTGTTGTACAGGATCATAAAGTAGTTGTCTCTCCATATTAGCTTCACTAGCATACGATTAGAAATTAGTTGTCTCCCCATACTAGCTTCACTTGTATATAATCAGAGAACAGTAATGACAAGAAGAGACCAAATAGGAACATGACACTAGTCATTATTAAAGTAGTTTCTTACCATGTCCAGGAGTATGTCAATTTTTAGCTTGAGAAAGTTATTTTCTTCATGCAGCGTCTGATTTTGTTTTCTTAATCGTGTGACTTCTTTATGACTGGATCCACCACCTCCTGTCTCTACAGAAATACATTTTCTATATTTCAATAAATGTTCACTGTAATATTTAAAAGATTTTTGTCAGTGCATTTATTTTCTAACATCTTGGAGAAGAGTATAAATAAACCATGGCCAGTAAACACTATTAACTCTTTGCAGACCGGTTGCCACTTAAGTTGCTTTTGAATCTATCCTGTTTGGACTATTCTCTATTAAAGTGGCACTTCACAGAGACATTCTAATATTGTTTCATTTGCTGGGAAAGCAAATTGTATAAACATGTTTTGAAAAACTAGAATTAGCTAAACGAAGTTTTTTGTTTTTGTTTTTGAAGTTGGCATCACTTTCTGATTTGTTTTAGATTCACTACATGTGATAGAATTTGTATGTGATTTTTCCAGACAAAACGATAAGAAAAAAGGTCTAGAACTGTTCAGAGTGAACTGTCATTTACCAATCTCAGCCAGAAAGTGACAACAGTCTTGATATTATGACTGATAATGCAAGTGACAAACCTATTGGCGATAATATACGTTACGATGACGCCGTAAAAAATATTTCAATCGGATCACCTCTGTTTCAATCAGCTGTTTTCCACATTTTGGCGGTTGTGAAATCTGACATGTCATACAAAAATAGTCATAACTTCTAATGTATTTAAATAAACTGTTTCAAATAAAGACTAGCTGATACATAACTGAACAGAGAAGGCATGTGAATTCTTAGAATTGGATAGCAGTGTCGCTGAACAACTGAAAAGTCAGGTAAGCACAACATTTTGTGTGTAAATAATCCTCATATGTGTCTCACATCCTTGAATGTTGTGTGATTTTAATAATATTTTGTTGCAATGATAACAAATAGTTTAGATTTATTCTACACTCATTTATCTTTAATTTAATATATTATATGTCCCTATACAGTTAATACTTTTTCATCAAGAAGGTTTTAGCTTTATCATGTTGCAGTAGGTAAAAAAAAAAAGTAAAGGACCCTTTTCCATGCCTTTAGGCGTATAGGGCATATAGGGCCAGATCCTATATTTTTATAGACCAATCAGCACAAGATGGGTGATGTGGTCAGCATCACGCCGACTGCCTTTACTTTTCCCGGGACTGCACCCAGTACCCACTCAAGGCTGGGTCGATCTGGGAGCCAAGGTCATTTTAGAAAAAAAGTCCAGCTCCACCAGGGAGCGGACTCACGACCTTCCGATCCGCAACAAGTGTCTAGCCGTTCGGCCACGGCGACTCCCTCATGTTGCAGTATTTTTAAAAAAAATTCTGCTCAAAATTAAAGCTTCCTAACCATTAAAAAAATGTGGTCCTGAAAGAGTTAATCAAGAAGTTGTACATTGTTTGTTGATTTGGACTGAGAGAGTATCATCTGCTTGGTGTTCTGTTGGATGAGACATGCGCAGGTCTGCTGAGATCACCCTGACACATCGTGGTGCATGTTCCATAACTAGTATGGGGCTTTCTCTGCTGAACCATCCAACTGCTTCAGTGCTCATGCTCTTGCTTGACCACATATCCCTAGCAGCTTTAGTGCACCGTATACCGGTTTGGAAACTCATAGTGGAGAGCAGGTCACTGTACTTCTCCATTCTGTATATGTGCTGCATTTCAATCCTGAATTCATGTAGGATGGTCAACTTCATAAGAATCATCTGACGAGCAATCAGGGATTGAAGTACAATATCTGGTTTCAATTGAGTCTTTTGAAATACATTAGAGTAGCTATCTTAGCCCTTCCTAACTGGCAGTCAAAAGACAGGAGGGATAATTACAATGTAGTTTACATTACTGTTTGTTTGTTTGCCCTGCTTAAGGAAATACATGGGTTGCCCTTTTGCACTGGTTTGTCTGTTGGCCTTCATTCTAGCCTTTTTTAAATAGTGGCCAATTCAGTGAGGACCTTATTGTGCCTCTAAGTAAACCTTGGCATAATGTCTTCTTGCACATGGACAGAACATGATCCAGTGTCTGTTTCACTCCACTGTGGGCATGATGTGACTTCAGTTGTATTCAACCTGGCTGGGATTGCAGCATTTAGCAGGACATTGTACAGAGACCTGATAAGGAAGTTCAAATGTAGTGGAGCCATGTGCTATACATCAGTCCAGGTTAAGAACTTCTGAAGGGTTGCCTCTCATCCTGTCCATCGGCCTTGCTGCGCCTTTTGGACTTGCCTGTCATCCTTCGAGTCCCTGATTTCTGACACTATCATGTCTCTTCATTCCTTGACCAATTGCCTTAGACTACCATTTGACCTTATTATGCCCAAAGCTGAGCTAGTTTATCTGTGTGAAACCCATTACTTCCTTCATTCTCAGCGCACCTGAGACCAAGCTGATGGTGTTGTCAACCTTCCACTTTCTTAAGCGTGGGCTAGATTTTGTGGACTTAAGGGTCTGGAGACTCATGCAGCATGAGACCGGCCTTGAGACCACAAGACTGGCTTTGCCAACTTTGAATTCTTCTGCAACAGCCTTGAAAGGAAGCCTGAGCTTCACCTTTTGCCAGTATAATGCCATTTCCGACAATAATAATGGGACTCCTAGCCATTTCCTCATGGCTTTTTTTATTTTCATCTCCATGGCTTTAACTGCACTCAAGCCTACATCATAAGCAGAAACTGGAGGAGCATCGAGGCCAACATGAAATGCAGGCACCTTACCTTGAACTTGCCTATTAGACCTGCCACCGTGAATAAGGTTGCCATCACGATCAGTAAACTTCTGGACTTCTGAGGTTTCAGTTTTCGGTTGTGCAGACTTGATTTGCCAATATTTAAACACGGGTTACCTGCTTTTGATACTCACCCTGAATTGACTCTCACCACTTTAGAGGGTGGCTGGTTCACTGTTATGGTTTGCTGATTTTTTAAAGCGCTGAGATACCATAAAATGATATTCTCCAAATCATCCTTTGCTTTACTCACAAGACACTATCTATGAACAGAAAAAGTGACAGCAGACTCAGTTTAATTAACCTACCTGTAATCCACAGTCCATTTTCAAATGCAACTTGATTACCACCCAAACTGACTTTGAGGGCACCATAGTCTAGGCCAAACTCAGCTTTTGATTCTGTGGCATCAAGGTGCAGGTTTGACAGTGACTGTGCACGCCTCGGTGGAGTTTTCTTTGGTGAGAATTTGTTTCCAAACAAACCTAGCGGCATAGTGATCACCTGAAAGATGTATCTTAACTTCAGTTTCTTTTCTTTTACCATCAAATATGATTCAATTACATCAGTTGAATCAGCAAATAATAATGCAGTAAATGATAAGATAAACCTATCACATTCTATTGCAAGAAACTAATCATAGAAGCCAAATAGAGGAATGGTGCTGGGAAAGAGGGCCAGGGGCTGACCAGCATATAGATAGGCACACAAAAACCTGTGGTAGAAAAGTACATGAGGCGGCAGAGATGTCAAGAGATCAAGTTTTTCTTTTTAGATGTGGTTATGTGAAGGACCTGTTGCATGATGATGATGACAGGATAAGTGAAGAAAATAATTCTTCCGGTTAAAACAGATTTTGGGTTACAGTATCGTCTGGAATCTACTACCTTCAAATCATGTTAACATGAATTTAAAGAGACTAAAAAATTAAGAGAAATATTTTTTCGTTAATATTTGTACCGAGGACTATTTGGTGCACTATGAATCAATAATGCATCACTAATAATAGCAGAAAAATTGGCTCTCCTCCGAACTTCTACCCCCCGCAGTATTGCGGCCTGAAATATACGTTCGGGGCGCAGTCCAATTAAAAATATGCCGGCTCCGTATAACGAAACAAATGATCTAACAGGATCTCAGTGATATGTTACTTGTAGACCTGTTTCTTATTGTTTCTGATTACCTGACAATTCTTAGAGACGCAACACTGCATACGATAATATCAGAAGACGATAATAGCGACCGTTGACACTTTCCATTGTCGAACTTTCTGCCGACGAACAAATCGCGGCAAATCTAGGATCGGCTCGGAAAAACGAAACAAATGCTCTAACAGGCTCTCAGCGATATATTACTTGCGGACCTGTTTCTGTGACTATGCCTCACTGCCGACAGTATCCACCGCGCGGCGCGGATAGGGACGAAACTAGATGGCTGGGACTCACGAGCGGCAGCTACCGCATCTCCTGCAAATTTCTCCAATTACTTTACTCGTGAGTCCCAGGCACCTAGTTTAGCCCTCCATCCACACGTGCGTACGTAGCGGCGTGGGGGATACGCTCGGCGGTGAGTTTAATCGCGTTTTGCGCATGCCGACAAGTCTGACATCTATCGCTGCTAAATCCTCAATCGGATAACAGTATTGCTAATCTGCTTGGGAGAGCGTGGTCTACCCGCCATATCACTTTCATCGTCTGTAATGTCTTAAAATGTCAACGGTCGCTTTTATCGTTTTATCGTCTGCAGAAAATGCTCGACATTGTCACCGGTCGCTTCTATCGTTTGCAATGTTGCGTCTCGTGACATTGTAAGGTACTCCTAGTTTTGCCGTATTTTGTTCCTCGGCGGGAACTCCGACAAGTCCGTATTTTTAATTGGACTGCACCCTGAACGGATATTTCAGGCCGCAATACTGCGGGGGTAGAAGTTGGAGGAGAGCCAAAAAATTTGTTGCTTGTTAATTAAGTAATTAAGTAATTGTTAATCAAGTAAATTCATGTTAATGAAGTTTTTCTGTAATTCGTAAGCTTTGTTTGTTATACAAGAATGTACGTGTGTAAAGGAACACGAAAAAGACGGCTTAAAACTAAACAATTGTCCTGTTGAAAGCACAATTGAATAAGTTATAATAACTGTTATTGAATAACAATAATGCAATAATGCTAGTACATAAGCTACAAGCTATCAAAGTGATAAATAAGTAACATTATACTTGATACTTTAATTTCTTTCTGTCACCGGTAAATTTAAAAGATAATAATAATAACAACAAATAATAATAATAATAAAGCAAACAAGTCTATTCTTGCCGCAACTTCAAATGGCACTATCGGCTGCAGCTTGACAACATAGTTATTTGTTATACAATTAAAAAAGCCAAATTTTATTGTTTTAAACTTACTGGTTCTCTTTTGAAACTTTTTAGCTAAGGAAATAAATCAGTTATCACAAATAAAGCGAGCCTCTATTCTAGATGAAAATATGCAGAAAATTGTTGAATGTTTGGTGTAGCAACGACCGAATCCTGCAGCCCAGTCAATGCCTGCCATATGTGGGTGAGCTCCCCTCCAGTAGACGTCTGCTTGTGGGCAGTGAGAGTGACGTCCTCCTGGGGCTGCATGCATCAACGTGAAGGTTTAATGTTTGTGTTCACACAATGTTCGTCAGATCGCAAATGTGTTTATTATAGTTGTTTATTTCATTTTTTAACACGCATCTTTCCGATTTAACAGCCTGGTACTGACTGTTGAACGCGTGATCCTCATCGGCATAATGGCACTTTGACACAAAGTTTGTGTCACCCGGGTGTTTATGTTATGAAAACAGTTTGAGTCCTGCCTCTGGTGGGTAAAAATTTTTTACTTACTATTTGAAGTATTTGCAAGATGAACTTTCGAAACGACTCGCCATCTCAATATATGGGACTGTGTCGGGGGCCCTAATATAATATACAATATAACCTAACGATTGAGACTTGTACTCACTCGGGTTATCCTCATACAATTGGAATTGGTGGCACTGTGGCACTTTGTTGCGTCACCGGGTGTTAGTCGCTCATTGTACGCTGGCCCTGGTGGGGTTGAACGACACATATATAATATTATAATTTTTAACATCTGAATCGCGGCTCATCTGGTCACTGTGGTGTCAACGCTTCCGATAGCTGTTCTGAGACTCATCATCATCATTATCCAGTAACACTGCATGTCATCGGGTAACCAGTTGCTATTGGCTGTCTGATCAGCTCTCTCCACCTTTGGCGGTCAGTTGCGATAGACATAAACATAAAGTTGCATGCCTGAGGCCTTTCGGGCTATCCTCCGAATAACGGTCCCAAAGTATCGAGGCTAAGAAAATACCCTAACAGGACCTCAGTCATAGGTAGATTGCAAATTTCTTTCTGGTGAATATACCGCATAACGCAGGAAACGCTCCTCCAAATAACGGTCCCAAATCATCTAGGGTGTCTACAGCTCTGACACTGAGTGCTAGGTTTAACTTCTTCCCTGGGTCCTAGGTTTAACTTCTTCCCTGGGTCCTAGGTTTAACTTCTCCCCTGGGTCCTAGGTTTAACTTCTCCCCTGGGTCCTAGGTTTAGGGTTAGGGCCAGAAGTATTGCAATTACAACACCGCCACCAGAATCTGTCACAACAGTGGAATCGCAACACAGTCTAGTGAAGGATTATGGGTGGAACCACGGCCGACTCTATTTATATGGAGAAGGCGGTGGATGGAACTTATGCGGACGCGACCACAGCAGCACTAGTCGCGCGTTGTTTACTGAATTTTTAGCGCAGTTTCCTGGCGGCACAGTCACAAACATTGAGGCCCTGTTAGGGTATTTATTGAGCTGCGATAATTTGGAACCATTATTGGGGGGATAGCAGCCTATCCAGTCAGTCAAGTTTTGTAACCAAGTCTTTCTTGGTCTGCCTTTTCTTTTTCTCTTTCCTTCTACTGAGCTCTGCAGTATTGTTTTCTGAGAGGCGGTTAGATCTTATTACGTCACCAGACCATTGCATTTTCTGCCATTTCACTGTACCTGTATGAAATGCCAAGAATTTTTCTGAAACATGGCATTTCCAGTGCTTGTGTCCAGTGTCTTCCTTTTGAGTTCAGCTGTTAGGGTTCACATTTCACAGCCATATGTAAATGTACTAATAGCTGCTGCTCTGAGCAATTGAATCTTAGTTTTGCATGGAGTGTTCTTGCATCTCCATTGTGTTTGCTGCTTGGCAAGGACTGATGTCATCTGAACAATCCTAGACATGATTTCTTGTCTTGACCCGAGGTCACTTAATATGGACCCTAAATATTTGAAATGATTGACTTGTTCTAATTTTTGATCTTTAACGTGCTTTGGTGAAGTTAATCCAGCTGGATTATTAATTAGTCATTACCTTTGGTTTTTTTTCTGCGTTTATTTCCATGCCATACTTGGTCGATGTTTCATAGAGCAGATTTGCAAGCTCGACTAGCTCTTGTTCTTCCCGTCCAACCCATCGATGTCATCTGCAAACTTTAAATTTGTTACAGTTTGACCTCCTTTACTTAAGACTACACTGTAAATAAAGTTAAAGTATAGTTATGGTCAATATGATATGAGCAAGAACCAAACGAATATTAATTAAAAAACTGTGTACACAGTTATTTTTATCAGGCGGAATTGTTACTTAATGTTGTGGCCCTGCAGTGTTTTGTGTGGGTGTGTGTAAATATTTCATTTTCAACATTGCTATCCAGCAATCTAATATTATTTATCTGGAAATGCTCAAGGTGTGTCCAGCAGCCTATCAAATTGTAAATGGCACCTGTATGACTGCACTGGTTTGTTTGTCAAATTATTCTTTACCCATGGCTTGAGTTTATATCAACTGGCTCAGGTTTGCATTCACAATATTCCCATTGTAGATCATTTACAGTACAGTTTCTTTGGAGTGTAGTAGTGCTCTGCAAAACAGATCAAAAGCATTAGCTGATTAGAGAACTTAGACGTAGTCAGTGTTTATTCCAAATGTTCTGGACAGAAAATCCTTGATCTGGGTCTTATCAAGTTATGCAAGCCACTCTGCATGCTGTAAATGAAAATTTGAAAGTTGAGTAAACAGGTGTTGATGCATTTTCAGATTGCTGCTGTGTTTGCTGATAAATTTACAGAGCATGGCATCGGGACCTGGTGGTGATGGTTTGCCCAGTGACATTCCCAGAGGACTGATCAATAGAACAGGAAATCCTATTGGCAGAGGGTCGAGGTAAATCCCAACAGTTCTTTTGTATTAATACACTTTGCTGTGTCATTTTAGCTGTGTCAGTATTATTTCTTAGAGTTATCGTTCTTTATGATCATTTTCTCATGTTCAGGTTGAGGAAGGTGGAGACAGGCGTTCTCCCTGCAATGGCCAGTATCGCTTCAGAGGTCCTGAGTAGTTAGTGTCCTTTATTTAGCTATTTTCTCCAGGTAATGTAAGTATGCTGGGAAACAAACAGGCACATGGCTAGTTCTGCACTACTTGGTGGTGAATTGATCCATGACAAGCTAGATTTTGTAAGGGTCCTTTTGGAGCGAGTGAACAGTGCGGAGTCACAAATAGATCCTCATGATTTCAGGGCCAATGGGAGCTGGCCTGTGCTCAACATTCACGGGGAAGGTGAGGCGGAAATACATTCAGACTGTTACTGGTACCATTAGAATTGGAACCCTGTGCTAGCTGCTATAAATTGGGTTGGAGCGCTTATGGGAATGTCAGTAATGTTGATTTTTAATGCAACATTCAGTCTCTTGGGGTTATGATACTTTAGGATCATCTCTTGATGTTGGTAGAGGCAGGAAACATCAGAGCTGTCTTCTCTTTTTTGCATTGTTTTCTGTAAAACTACAGAGCCCTAATACCTCACAGCCCTATACTGGTCATTGAGGCACTGTCACAGACTTATTTTTCATCTGACTAATTGCTCCAGAAAACAGAATGTTGAACACACACAAAAATGCATCCAAGATGTTTCTCTATCACAAAAATGCATTACCTCACATAAATCAGAAAATTTTGAAAGCAATCAACAAATTGAATTGGACTGTGCTCTGACATTGCCCCTTAAGCCTCAGTCTGGTTTTCTCTTATTTTCATCTCTTTAGTCCACTTATCCACTCTGACAAGATTTGTGAATGATGATGATGTTATTTTGCGGTGGCATAAGGTCATAGAAGGTTCAGAGATGCTTGAGTAAATTATGTGTAAAGGGTGTGGTAAGTTATTTTGTGAGTGAATTTCATACAAGTGTACTGGGAACAGAATGTGTGGTATTACTTTCTGAACATCCTTCACACATCGCCAGCATTAAATTTAAGTTTTTTAATGCAACTTTCAGCTAACACCTGATCAAATTCATGATTACCGGTTTTTTCATGGTTCTTATTGTTGGTGTTGTATAAAACAGTATTGATTGCTTATTGCAGACTGCCATCTGTGAGAGGCAGCCGAGACCTGACTCTTGGTGGGATCCAGAAAAAAGTTTTCAAGCCAAATTTGGCAGCTATCAAGAAGGCTTCAAGCAAAGAGGAGTAAGTAATAAATGTATAGTAGGGCACAGGGTTAAATGAATGAGCTACTTACATGCATAATGAAGTAAGTCTACTTTAACTGTTCAGAGCTCTGGTTTGGTAGTGATAGTGTGCAGTCGCTTGCCAGTATTCTGGGTTGATGCCAGGTCTCATTTCTATATGACAGCCGGTAACTATCTACTGTCATCTGTCTGGCTATTTTATGTCTTTTTTCCTGCCTACACAAAAATATTGTCTCCAAATATCAGTATGTTTTCAAGCCCTTGTACTTACAGACCTGCAATCTTGCTTGTGTATACAGTGGTTCCCACCTGTCATAGTCTGGGGTTCATAGGTCACGTTACCCTGATAGGGGGCAACCCTGCAAGAGTACAAGATAGCTGCTCCCTTTGTTAGTTCCAGAGCCCCATTATAAGGAGAAATATGAATAGACCCACTGCTTATACAAAAGCCTGTCATAAAAATCAACTGATTGGAAGCTTCTTTCAGATTCGGAGAACATCTGCCTGAGAGGCAAGGAACCAATAGTCTGCATACAAATGAGTCAAGACCTGTGAAACAGATGTACATGCAACACTCAGGTTCTGGAACAGGTCTAGAATCAAGAAGTGGACAAAATACCAGAACCTTCCGCCAGAGTTCACAGCTGGTGGGTGAACTGAAGAAGAAGATAGCTGCTGTTAATTTTACCAGCCAGGTATCCTTACTGTTTGGCCTTATACCATACTGATGAAAGAAATGAAAACATTAGAACAGCTGGGCCTTTTTAGAAGTTTAGTTCTATAAATTCTTGTTAGAAGATGTTTGTAAACTAGCAAGAACATTTCTATTTAATTTTGATCTGTGTGTTATTGATAATGGATATTCACCACTTGGTATTACAGTAGCTCTTTTGTGTTTTTCTTGCCTGTTACTGTGTTGTATTGCTTCACGGGTGAGTCAGATTTAAATCTTTTTCCTGGGGAGTTCTATTTTGCCTGGCCTTTCATCATGTGTTCTCTAGCCTGCAGTAATTCTACTGCTGTCAACTTTTCATCATTCTAATTTAATTATGTCATTGTTTAGGAGTATATATATTTTTGACATGTTGTGTCATTTCTAGGCTGTCAAAACAGAATGTGTCTGTGACCTCGCCAAGCAGTTCAGATAGACATGAAGATAGTAAAAGTTCAAACGGGGTAAAATTTGAGAGAGGCAGAGGTCGGGGAAGAGGAAGAGGACAGTTTGAAGACAGAACCATACAACTGCAGTCAGAATTTGCGTATGGTCCTATGGGCAAAGCAGCAACAGTATCTGGTAAGTGGAAGGTAACATTGGAGGTATGCTTCCAGATGTCCCAGGTCTCTTTAAAAAGTGCCTTACCTTTAAAGTAAAATTATCTTTGGGGGGAGGTGGGGGGGGGGACTTCTCATGCTTCTTGCAGAGAGACTCTCCTCTTTTACATTGTTGGGCACATTCCAGTATAAGCCTCTTGAGCATGTAATACATTGCCGCCATTGCATGCCACCTAATATCTATTAGTTACGCTTTTTTTTTAAACTTGGCAGATTATAAGTTGGTTTGCAGCAAAACTGTGATACCTTTGCCTTCCAGCCCAACACATTTGATTTCAGCTGACCCACTTCTTGTTAAGGGGACAATGTGTATGTCCTTTTTTTTGCTTACACCTGTGCACACTTTAGAAGGGACAGGAGTTACTACAATAACTGAGCAGGATTTGAGGTGGTTTTCCTGTGCAAAAAATGGCTTTATTAATAGACATTATGAGGTCATAATTTTCCCATTGGTCACTGTGTTAACCTTTGACTGGGTCAAGGGGTAAAAATGATGTCACAGTAAACATTTGAGTCTCACAGAGTGTCTCTGCTGCATTTGTGTTTACTGATGATTCCTGTTCTGTATGGACTTTAATATTATTTTGGACAATAAATAAAATTGTTTTTTTCATTGCTGACCTGTGTAAAAAAAATAATTTTTAATCAGTAATTTCCCTATTGCAGGCCATTGATATTGTGGGGGGGGGGGGGTGTCACCAGGATAACAGGGGTAAGATCCTGTTGTGTACGTGCTGGGCATTCGCATTATATAGCAGCCTAAAGGCAGTGGATGGCTTCCAGTTCATTTTAGTAAAGTTGTGACCTTTGGTGCCCTGCCCCATGAGAATCATGGAAAGCGAATGGCATGACTTTGGCATTGCTTTGTATCTGCTAGTTGCTTTTGGCCTTGGAGATGATGTTATTTCAGTGTGACAATTTCAAATTTGATTTTCGTTTTGTAATATTTAGTTTGTATGTGCATTGCGTTTCATATCATCATCATCATTATCGTCCTGTTATATCATTATGTGTCACATGAACTTGTAGTCTGTTCCTCCATTCCATTCTATCCTGTACAATCACTTCGACATCTTGAATGGAATTCAGTCCACCACCTTTTGCCTCCCTCATCAGCCTTGGAGGTCTTCACTTTCTCAGTCCTTTAATTTATCATTTTAGTGTCTGCTTATTGATTTACTGCTTGTTTCTTCTCAGGATTTGTTTAATATATCACTATTTTGACTATCAAAAATACTACGTAAATTAGAAATTAAATGTATTTTATGTACATACAATATTAAATGTTTTATACATTTTATGATTTCCATTTCTTATATTCACTATGTGAAAATGTCTCTTCTAATTCTAGGCTGGAGCAGAGGAAGTGGAGGCAGTGGTGGTGGAGGAGGGGGCGGTGGTGGTGGTGGAGGAGGAGGTGGTGGTGGTAGCAGAGCCAATGATTTAGATTCAGTGTCTATCAAGTCAATGAAATATGCAGATGACACAGAAGATGATAGCAAACTGTTTGATTCACTCATGAGAGATGATGTAGGTACACATGTTAAGGACATTGCTTGAAATTATCATTTCTGAATATAAGGAGTGGTAAACATTTAGTATTTACAAGATAGCTTCAAAGATAAACCTGATTCAACTGGATTGTTTTTTTTTTTTTCTGAATATTGGTAAACATTTAGGGGGGGGTTTGGGGGGGGGGGGAGTAGATTGAATATATTCTGAGAAAGTAAAGAGCAGATGCATCATTTTTCTATGTGGTCACCACTGCGTTCAGTGCAAGTCAGCCAGCACCAAAAGAATACTTGGATCAATATAGAAAATACTCTTTTTGTAACGTATGTAACCTCTCATTTACCGATTGCTGTACTTCTCCGTCAGACCGAAAAGTCTTTCCTCCTAGTGACTCATGAGTTTTTCAGACAGGTGGAATTCATTTGGGGCTAGGTCTGGTGAGTACAGGGGATGTGGTGCACACTGAAAGTGGAGGTCTTTGATGGTTTGGAACATTGCAGGGGCAGTATGAAGTTGAGCATTGTCATGTTAAGTTCATATTATTTGGATTTAACTGCAGGTCGAAGATGAGAAGATCTGTATACTGGTGCCCTAAAATAATGCCTTGTTCGCCCCAAAATAAGTCAGCATAACTTTCCCTGCTGATGGCTGTGTGCAAAACGTCTTTGGTTTGGGTAAGGAGATATGGCGCCATTCCTTGCATGTTCTCTTTGTTTCCAGCTCGTGGTAGTGAAGCTAGGTTTCATCTCTAATAACTGTTCTTGATAGAAAGCATCACCTTCTTCTTCAGAGCACTGCAAAAGTTCTTGACAAGCACACACCTTGCAGATACTTTCCGGTACTGTATCATATGACGGATAAGGCAGTCTGCTGAACCTTGACTGTTCTCAAGATTGTCAACAGTGTCACTCACAATCAATTTTAAATTTCCTGTATGAAGGCCTTCAGTGGCTACAGTCAGCTCTAAGGTCACTACTCAGTGTGCCTGGCCCGGTCATGGACAGTCATAGTTGTCACTGAAGTAATGCCATTTTGAAACCCCCTACTCCTTTCATACACTTGCTGGACTGACAGGCATGCATCACCACACTGGACCTTTATTCGCCAGTGAATTTATAGTTTTGACCACTTCACTGTTGAAAAAATGGAGACAGAAAGCCACTTTTCTTTGGTGTATGTCAAAAGTGGGGTGGTCATTTTTAAACCTATTGTGATGTCACCATGTTCGTCTGCACATGCTTAGAGTTGAGTCAAGAATTGACATCACAGCACTCGGAGCATTCCCATGCATGCTTAAAACCGTTGACCTGCTTAACAGCAGTATTGACAGGTTACAAAACATTTGCAGGGTAATTTCTATCATACTCTTAATGTTTTCATTTGAAGCCCCCTCATAGAACCCAATAATTGTTACAGTAAAAATGTGGATGACTGCAGTCAGGCTGATGTAGATTAATTCACTGAAAGAGGGGGAGGGAGGTAATTGGACATTTCGGCCGAATTCATTATCAATGTTCAGATTTATATGGCTGTCTAGGACATGTTTTATAATATGTCATGTTCGTTACATTCTTGCTTGTACAAGTTCCGACAATTAAGTTTTAAGACTAATTCCATAAAAATTTAAATAATCAACAGTTGAAGATATATCCTGTATTTTATTCAAAGTAAGCCCCATATGCATTGATACAGTGATAAGCACGATCTACAAACAATGGAACGATCTCTGTAGTCTTCTGTTGCTATGGCCCTTAAAGTGGATGTTACGGCCCTTTGGATGTCATAAATATCATTGAATAAGCGTCCTTTCAATGGTAACTTTAATTTTGGGAATAGAAAATAATCACTGGGAGACAAATCTGTAAATAGGGTGGAAAGCTGAGAACATACACTTGTTTTTGGGCCAACAGTTCTTTTTTTTATGTCTCGTGGGTACTCAACTCTCTGATGTTTTTGGTCATCAGACAACGAATGCGGTACAAACCTGCAAGCAACATTTTTTCTTGCCAAAATCAGGCACTAAAATTTTACGAAAGATCTCTCTATTAATACCAGATTCATCTGCCATCATCCTGACAGTAAAACAACGATCTTATTGTATCTGTTCTATAACTTTTGCAATGAGTTCATCATTACAAACAGAAATTGGGCGTCCAGGTCTAGTTGCATTAGTAATCGTTTCTACAGCCCTTTTAAATCGTGAATACCACCTGAAAATCTGTGCACCAGATAAACAATTATCACCATAAACTTGTTGCATCAATTCAACTGACTCAGTGGCGCTTCTTCTGAGTTTTAATATAATTTAATGTTAGCTTTTTGCTCCACGCTGATTTTGTAACAATGCATATCTAACTAGGTAAATAAAATAGTGGCTTGTTTGTGGCTTATCAGGCGGCGATGCAAAGTTGCCAGATCATAGATGAAGGTTGCCTCTTTGGATTCCATGCGTTGCTTAATAGATGGCACTTTTGTCTTGGCCATAATAAAATCAGTCTCATTGCTTAATTGTTGGACCTTGAATATCAGTTTGTTTTTCCCCCATTGTAATCTTTAAAAATGTTTGATGTTTTTTTAAATATGTTGTTGCAGTTTATCTCAGACCTGTCATCAGGGGATCCAAACATGGCCCCAATTCGGCTTCCATTGAACATAAATAGAGTTGGGCTAAAACAAGAAGTCAAGCCTGAAGTGAAAGTGAAAGGTACTGTGGGAAAGAAAGAATCTTATTATTCATGATTGTCTTGTTATGCCATTATACCTCAGACAGGGCTCGCAGTCTAGTCCTTCATTCTGTTCTGTCCTGTGCAATTCTCTTGAAATCATGGAATCAAGAAAATGAGAGGCGCCTGCACTCAAACTCTCCCTTTGCTTTCAAGGGTAATGCTCCTTGTCACAAAGCCTAGTGCAGTTAACAGCCAATGTTTGAATATTGAAATTCTTCCTTACCCGCCATATTCACCATATCCGGTACCTTCAGAATTGTTTTCTTTTCCTGAACCTTAAAAGTCATAAAGAAAGTCACACTAATTCTTCTTCTTCTGCCTTTCTATCCCCCAAAACAGCATAGGCCCTCAACCAACTCACGCCAAGTCGTTCTATCCTTCGCCATTGCATGGAGCTCTCCCCATGTCCTCCCCATTTTTCTAACTTCATTCTCCAGCTCTCTTCTCCATGTGTTTTTTGGCCTTCCTTTATTCTTATGCCCCTGTGGGTTCCAATGCAGAAACATTCTAGTTATGCTGTTCTCCTGTTTTCTCAGTGTGTGTCCTATCCAATGCCAGCGTCTTTTCCTCACCTCTTGGTCCACTGGAGCCTGTTTAGTTCTCTCCCAAAGTTCTACATTAGTTATTCTATCATACCATTTAATTCCCTCTATTCTGCGCAGGCACCAGTTAATGAATGTCTGTAATTTATTAGTAATTGTCTTAGTTGTTCTCCATGTTTCCGCCCCATACAATAGTACTGATTTGACATTAGAATTAACAATTTTTAGTTTAATATTTTTTAAAATTTCTTTTGACCTCCACAAATTGACTTATCCATGGTTGGTTGGTTTTTGTGGCTATGGTTTTTACAGGATGAGGTAGCTAGCCAACCTCAAGCCCAACCCTACCCTTAGTCGCCTCTTACGACATGCCTGGTAGGGTGCAGTGTCACTATTCTTTGCTTCCCGTAAGGGCCCCGGTGACACATGGGCGAAGTCACACTAGCCTGTGATAACTGGTTTAGCTAGAAAAAGGGGTATTCTATTTCCAAAGTCTATTCAAAGTCAAGCAGTGATGGCAGAAATGTTTAAATTCGGGAGGAGGCTATATTAAAATGGAATATACACTGTTCCAAATTTCACTTTCTGTCACATCTTTCATATTTAGGGTAAGGACTTATGGATCACCCCTCATATGTAGGACATTTTCAACAGTTTACATTTATGTAGGGTTTGCTTTTGAGTTATCTAAACATATTCGGTACTTTCATATTACTGGCATCATGAGGGCTAATAGACTGTGATGAATGAGGCATATGGATGGCAGGTAATAGAGAGATGAGCTGCATGCACAAAGTGTTAAATGGAAGTAGACCTTGAGGCAGACCAAAAAGACAGTGGAGAAATAATATACAGACAGACCTGCAACTCTTGGTAGAAGAAGAACAGACCAGTCAGAAAGATGGCAGGTGAGATCCACAGCAGTGAACCTCAAGGGTTCAGAATACTGAAGACAATTGTTATCCTGTTGCTCCTTAATTTATGAAGGGTTGGTATAAAAATCTGAATTTTATAACAGGAACAGTTGAGTTGAGTCAAGAATTGACATCACAGCACTCGGGGGCATTCCCATGCATGCTCCCTCCTCATCTTCAGCAGCCAACGCAGAGTTCCCATACTGATGGTACCGGTCACAATCTGGTCCGTATTGCTTTTTCTCTGAATGTAGAGAGCTGGCTAGACCTCTGGTTACACCAAGGTGTCTTATTTTGTCCAGGCCATAATCATCTTCTTTCTCTACTGATTCCGTTGCTTGTTCCCAAAGGGCTTTGGCCACGTCTGCCTTGTCATTTATCAATCCACCAACCAGTGGTGCAGATCCAGCCAATCTGTCTACCTGTTCATTACCCACTACGCCGGCATGGCCTGGAGAAAAGATTCCAAGAATGCTCACTAACCATGACCTTACCAGTGAAGCTTGCCACTCTGCTCGAAGCATCCCTGTCTTCACCTTTCTCAGTGTGCTTTCATAGTCTAGGGACAGGAACAACTTCTAACAGGCTAATTGAGTTAAGACAGGAGATCTGCATATTTTTTTTTTTAAGAGTAAATGAAGGGGGAGTATTTGCTGTATACTCTGTTGATGTTACCATCTTTAACTGAGTCCTATATTTTTTACTCCGAAGTAAACTTGGAGACCATGTGATTAGCCTGTTAATGCTGTCTCCAGCACTTGGAGAACCCGATAATGCACTAGATTTTCTTCCACCTATTGAAGGTGATATTTTTAACTCTTGGCCTATGTGCAGGCAGACAGTGACTTTATATTTGATGAAAAATATTGTCTTGTAGTCGTTTGTGTTTTTATTATTGATACGGTAGTTCAGATTCCCTAGTAGGTGGTAGTCATCAGATGTTTTTCTAACCAGTATGGTTTTGGAATCAGCTTAACAAATTTAATTGATTACCACTAACATATTTTGGATTTTATCGAATCCGAAGAAAGGAGCTGGTCACCAGGCTTTTGTAGTGACCTAGAATCTGAAGTTTTAACACTTCATACTCTGTGGCGGTAATTGTGTCAGGCTACCTTTTCTTTGAAACTTGTAGGAGGTAGGGAAACGGGGGTGTCAACCCTGGCGGCGGTGGTGGGCCAGGCTTGTACTGGTCAAGGCCTATATGTCTCTGCACGGTCATCCTAGAAAAGGGTTACCTAGATAAACAATGTTTCATCGCATGTGTCTGCCTGGGAGGTAAGGGACCACCAGTTTGCATACAATAAGTCACATCTGTAGAACAGATGTGCATGCAAACATTCTTCTTCTTTGTTTATCGGCTGTAAGTTCTGGTGGAAAGTTCTGGTTGTTTGTCCATTTGCACTTTGGCTGTGTGCCAGGTCCTGGGTTTTGCATGTAAATCCATTTTACTGGCTTATTTATGTGCAGTTGATTGTTTCTTGCCACTCGGGTAGATGCACTCATACTTCAAAGGAAGTCCCCAATCCTATGACATGCTTGTTGGGGAGGCAGTAGGATTGTTCTTGTTTTCCCCCACAGTGGGGCTCCAGAACCCACACAGAGAATGCAACATTCAAGTCCTGGAACAAGGCCAATGTCCAGAAACAAGTGACCAACCAAAACTTTCTGCCAGAGTTCATAGTCAATGAACAAGATAGCAGCTACTTCAGCATACTTGTACAGTTGAATACAGTTTATACCTTTTTGTTTTCAGAAGAAGTAATGGATGTTGATGAGGTTGATTCGAAAGTGGAATCAAAGACTGTTCTGGGACAAAGACGTCAGTCATTACCACCCCCTGCAAATGTTAGAGAGATCTTCAATGTCTCTACAAAGTCAGGTAGCAACATATGGTGAACTGTGTCTGTCTGTAGCAGGGGCACTGGAACCTAGGGCCTTAAGCACCTTGACCACCACTACCAATATTTGAAGACTAAGCTGCTTCCCCCCCCCCTCCCTCCAAATCCATAAATGTTTTCTTTTCAAGTATTTTGTAATACGTTTCATATTATTTCAGGTATATTGTTATATTTGTTTGAGAAGTGTAACTAAAATGACTTTTCACTGGAACTCACAAGGGCATACAAATTAAAACATTCACCACCCCCCCCCCCCCTTTCCCCACACACACACACACACAACATGGAAAAGGGAGCGAGAGAATGAAGTTGAAAAAGATGGTGAGGTGATGTGGAGATGTACATGCAATAGCGAAAGATAGAACAACTTGGCATGAGTTGCCTGAGGCCTGTGCTCCATTGGGAGGTAAAAGGCAGAAAAAGAATCAGTTAAACAAGGCTTACCTCCTTGACCCCCCCTCCCCTACCGTAAAAAAAATTATTTATAAAGCGACTGAGAATATCGCACCTCTGGTTGTAATAAGTGTTAAAGTCTGGGGGTACACGTCAAGTTAGTTTGAGATGTTTCTAAGGATTGGTCAGGTGTGACCCTGGGGTTCCCTTGTCAAGTTGAGTTATTCACTCTTATATGATATTACTACTGATGGTTTAATTCCCTATTCTTTTCCAGCCTGCATATGAGCTCTTCGGTTTGTGAATGCAAGATTTGGAAGCCTATTGTCTTTGATCATCATTAAAAATTATTGAATAGTTTAAGCCCTTGGCAGGCTCATTAAAGAGGTGACTGGTTGATCTTCCCTTTCTATGAAGGTCTTCGTGGCGAAGTGGTCAAGCCGTTTACCCTGCCCTGTGAAGGTTGTGGGTTCATTTCACGGCTACATTACTCAGTTCATAGCAATTTTTATGAAGACTCCTGGGGATTGTCATGGGAGCTATGGAGTTTATGCTCTGTGCAATGCACTTGGCAGGCGGCTAGCCGTTTTATGGAGAGACACCGCGCCATATATGATGAGACCCAATGCAGGGAAGTCGATCCTCTCGACCTTAACCTTTCCTAGGATGTCCTATGATAGATATTTGTCAGGTATGTTCCACATATACTGTGTCCTAGGTACATTAGTACCTCAAGATTGCCAGGAGATCTGTACAATATTGTGATTACACGCACACACACACACACACAAAATAAAATGCTAAATGGGCAGTAGTCATTACTTCATTTCTACATTCTTCTTTTATAAACAACACATTCGTTTGCTGCGGAAACTGAGAAAGAAATGAAATAGTCAGTTGTATTATTAAACTTATTTGTTTTGTGACATAACTAAAAACAAAGTTCAGCGATACATCAGTCAATAACATCCTGTTGTGCCAATATATATCACCTAGAGCTCACACTTAATTCTTCCATTCCATTCTTTCCTATGCATTTCTTTCGGTTTGGATGGAATCTAGCCCAGCACCTTTGGCTTCCCTCAGCAGCATTCCTTTTGTGGTCTCTTTTGGACACCCTTGTTTGTTCAATCCATTTGTTTCCGACTTAAGTGCATGTTTAGTGATTTTTTGCTTCTAATGATGTGCCCAAAATATTCCAGTCTTCTTTTACTTCTTCTGCGTTCATTCGAAGATTTAATTGCGTTACGCCTGTTTACCGCCTTGCTGCGTCTTTGAGCTGACACATCTCACTTCTGCAGGCATTTTTTGGCAGGGTTTGTGTCATGGGATCGAGAGATTGTATTATTACTGGGGATACAAGTGACAAGTGGTTGCCAGGCATTCCTTTTGTTTCTTAAATTCATTCTATTTAATGTCCATCAGTTTCCCTCGGCCGAAAATCCAAGCAACCTTGCATAAGTTTCAAACTTGGTTATCTTGATTATGAAAACTGCACACATCTTTTACAACAAACAACAACAAAAGAAATTTAGTAGACCCTGGCAGAGCAGTTTGGGGATCTGGTCTTCGGTGATAACGTTGCCCTTCTAACCCACTCACAAAATTTGGTGCAAAATAAATGAAACATACTTGAGGGGTAATCACATTAGTTATTCTGCAAATTCATAGGCGAAAATACAGAGATAATTTAAAGGAAAATAAATAAAGGAAGCTATGTCTCAGTCTTCATTAAAACTTCATCTCAAGAGGTGGTACCACTAATCTGTTAAGGTAATCTGGAAGTCTAATTTAAGTAAACCCAGTTCCACGTTTAGAATATTCAAGTTTAATGTCATATAATTTCTGCTTCTGTAAACCACTACCAAAAATTATGGCGTACACATCGACCTAGTGTACGAGTCATCCTCATTATTTTTATCCCAGAATTTACAGTTAGGCCCATACCTACTTAAAACATCTTATATCCATGCAGGTTGATCTGTTGCTTTGAAAAGATTTTCTGAGGCTTGAAACCTCGAATTGTATGCCACTGTTTATAGTAATGCAATTTCAAATTATTTCTTTATAGAACACATTTACTTGTGTGATTATTATTAATAAGAGCATTTTATTTACAGAGAAAGGGGAGTTGTTGTTTATTCAGTTTCCGGACACCCTTCCTGGGCTACCAGCTTCTGCTCTCACAGATGACAGGCCTAAATCTTCTACCGCCAGCACATCAGAGAAAGAGGATGAGGTATAAACAAATTCACCAAGATATTCTTCATCATGTTCATGTTTCTTAGTTGCTAACACTTGTACCTGGAGTACACAGAAAAGAGATAAAGCCTCTTAAAAACTGTTGAGGAAAGGATCCTAATGGCAAAAATCGCAGATAAAAACTGCTTACACAGAGGAGTTGAATGGAAGTAGACCACAAGGCAGAGGTAAAGATGGTGGAGAAATAACGTACCGTCAGAAACCAACTAGAAGGGGGGGGGGGGGGAACAGTCGCAGAGAATATTGGAGGCAGGTGATATCTGCAGCAAAGAACCTGAAGGGCTTCAAGTAATGGAGAAGAAGAACATTCTTGATTACCATTTATTGAAGAAGGAGGACATTGACATAAGATGGGCAATATTAAATAAGTCATGTTCGTCATTGCCTCTTTATGTTGTATTGATATCTGGACCACTTATATCCAGCAAGCACTAACTTTCGTATATGGTGTCTGGTTTTTACCATCTGCATCTCTGGGTAGGTCAAGGAAAGATATAAAACCGAACGAAAAGTATGTCAGCGAACTTCACCACATAACGAACACAAATAGAATGTGAACTTTGCGGCTATGGAGCCTTTTTCAGCACATACATAGGGTATACAATACTACACAGTATCACTTATCTTTGTATCTCATGGCAGCCGGGTCGAGGTCAAAACAATGGTCTGGCGAGGCACTTGGGGCCTTGAAAATTGATATCCGGGTGTTAAGTCCACTGGGCGCCAGAGTTCCCAATGTATAAATAAAGCGATGTTCAAGAGACTTGCGAACTATGTTGCTGGAGTAGGTCAACAATGCTAATGCTATCACATGCATTGGTTGAGCGGCCGGTGCATGTCTCTTAGACAACTAGAATGTGAGAGCTTACTCATCTGGCCACATACTAGGTCAAAGCTATCCAAATAAATTTACTTAGTGGCCAAATTTGGAAAATGGGAATCATCACAGGCTGGAGGACTGAACCCAGGCATAGAAAGATAGTTAATACAATACAACTGGCATTGGGCCACTTGCAGGGCTATGTGGGCTGACAGTTGAATAGCCCTGTACTAGTTGGATGTATTCCAGAGGACATTCTCTTCTCTGTGGCAGCTGATAAATATTATAAGACATATATGATGACAGTGTGAGGGATAAACGTTAAATTCCTGTGGGAAAAGTCTTCCAGCTATAGCACATGGAGGTGTGCTGTGAGGAATTATGTGGAGCTTGGTTGAAATAACCTTATTAGTTTTATACGTGAGAATTTGAATTTACTTGAAACATTTGCCCACTTATAAGTTTGTTATTGTAGCCTGATTAGGAACAACAGTGGCATGATGCTATATGTCAGTGGTGCCCACGTTGACCCAGCCTCAAATGGGTACCAGGTATTGTCTGGGGAAATAACGGCAGCTGGAAAGGTGCTGACCACATCACCCACATATTCTGACTGGTGTGCAAAAATATGAGCCTGGCATCACATGCCAGATGCAGCACCACTGGCATACAAAAATGGGAAAAGGGGGAGGAGGAGTACAGAAGAGGGTCCTATTGCCAGTTTTGATTAAAAGAACAAATATAAAATATAGTCCTTCTCTCTTGGGAAAACCAGCTGGTGAAGCGACTGGGTTCCTGCCAGCTGAAAGATTGTGCTGAAGGCTACATGGGCAAGCTCAGAGTCTACAAGTCTGGGAAAGCTGAATTGCTCCTGGGAGACAATGTCATGGAGGTCTTGCCGGGCATCCCAGTTAACTTCCATCAGGTTTGTAAAAGTTGTTGGCTCTTCTTATTGTCCTGTTTGTATTGGTAATAAATTTATTAGATGAGAGAACATTGAAGAAAACTAGCTCATTTAAAAAGTACTGTAGGTTCTAATGGCAGTTAGTGTGTTATTAGCTGTATTAAATGATTCAGTTGCCTAGAAAGAATTGCAGGGAAAAGTGAGGTTTTTAGAAGAAAAGGCAGGGATTACACCTAAGTGGATATAGGATATTGGTGACTTCTTAGACATGTGTAAATGAGTCTTGTGAATTGTCAGTGAACCTATAGACTTCCCTGCAGGCCATAATTGGAGCGACAGTCAGCAAAAGACCTGCCTATGATGCTGCGGCTGATTATATTGTATTATTTTATTTATTAAATAGGTATTTACCCAATGCACCAAAGTCGTGAAAAAGATCTTTTACCAACTCCCTGTGTGAGTTTTGGGCCTTTTTTAAGAGGGGAAAAAAATCAATAGATCCATTCCCTTACCAAGCAGGTTGTGAAAGGTAACTTATTAGGATTTTTATGAAATTGTGTGTTTTGGACCAAAGGTGCATATATTGCAGCCTAGCTGTAAACCACAACAGAATGTGCCAGCCACCCTTTTAAGGGCAGACGAAGAGAGACTTTACTAATCTATTTATTGAAGAAGGCGAAATGATACTTAGCAGAGTTCATGTTATTGTGATGAAGCCTATGTTACGGAACAGAGCTTTTCAAACACACAATCCTTTTTGTGACCAAGTCGGGACTCTGTGTTTAGCATGACTAAAGTTGGGCGCAGAAGAAGAAGAAGAAATTCTTCTTCCTTATTCCAAACCATACAACAGTACTGATTTGGCATTATAATTAAACATTTCAAGTTCAACATTGTTTTTAATTTCTTTTGACCTCCACAAATTTCCTGGTGAGCTCACAGACTAGTGTTTTGCAACACAGTTTGGAAAGCTCTGTTAAAGAGAGTTAGCAGTGTTAATTAACTGTGGATCCTCTTTCATGGCCATCACATTTATGAAACCAGTGCTTGTGATCTTTCTCTCCAGGAGCTGGTATCCATACATGCTGATGATAATCCAGGTCAAATTATTGTTTTGGGTCCAGTCAGCCATAAACTTGTGATCACCCCAGACTACAGTAACCTTCTCAGCTATGTGAACAAATTTTCCTGACATTTGTTGTTTCTGTTTTGTCATAATATTTATCCACATAACTAGAAAGGTGTGAAAATAAGCAATTAGAGTGAGTTATTAGGCCAGATTGGGTGAAAACTATGACTCTTGTATTCAAATATGGGCTATTTCCAACATAATTTTGATGGATAAAGTGTAGCTTAGGGATGTTCAGCTGGTGGACCTGTGGAGGAATTTTACTCGCAGAGGCCTAGCAAATAGCCTGCGATCATTTCAAATTGTATTCATGGGTGACAATCTCCATTTTCATAATTTTGGCCTGAATACCCCTGGTATAGAGTGTTGAATCATCATCATCATCATCATCATGTGTCTTGCCAGGCAATGTAAGGTTCCTGTCTGCTCACAGGTGGTTGAAAACATTAAAATTTCAGCTAAAAGAATGAAAACTTTCCAAGCTGAAGCTTTCTCTAGTGCGTGCCCCTTTGTGTTACATGACAATCCGATAGTTCTTCTTTATGAAACTATGACTGCTCCATTTCACCTGTTATGATATGTCTGGTCAGAATGGGTTGCAATCTAAAAGAATCTGTTTTGCTGTAAGACTTTAGGTGTACGGTAATATGCCAGTATTTTTAGTCCTATCCGTGCTCTGCTTGGATAAAGAAAACTACTGTTTTATCTGCCAGACAGAGACAAATGAGGCACAAATTTAGGAGATACTGAGAAGTGGCTTATTGTGTGACACCGCTGCAGACACAGGATGACCAGTGTCTGAGTGTGCATGAAGTATGGGTTCATAGAGTGTCATAGAGGCTCGGGTCTGGAATGAGCTGGACACACCATGGCCCGAAAAATGCTGTTAGGTTTGGAGATTCCTTGGAGAGTGAATGCTGGTCATTGTGTTGAAGAAAACGTGACACTCTAATTCTGTTCTTCATTTGTTTTAAAGTCACATCACTTCTTCTGTGTTAAGTCTTTTGTGTATTTATATGCTTTAAATAAACTGTTGCTATAATTGACAGGTGTTATGTTTGCATTAGTTTGTCCAGGTCTGCCCTCAATATATTAAACACATGTCAAATTCTGTATACAAGACATATAGTTTGTTTACTCTAAGTTAGCAGGCACACAAAAGAATAAATATAAAGGCTAAGAAGAATCTTCTAGAGAATTCACCTAGAAACTTTATTTGTATTGTACTTTTTTTCTGTCTCTGGTGACTTATCTCTCAGTTTAGGATTTAAAAATGAAATACTATATAGTTATGTTTGTAGAATATGCCTGCATAGAGAGATAAGAGTGGCGGTTCAAGAAAAATGATCTATTTGTGAAACCAAAACTAGAGAAACAAACATCTTTCTTCTTCTTCTCTAGTCCTGTATTGCCTTTCAGAGAGGCATCAGGTGACAGCCTTCATGTTCGCTATGTAGATGATGCTGGTATTTGTCACGTAACCAGCAAAACACACCCTACACTTATGGCTCAGTCCATAGCTTGTAACCTACTATGTAAATGATGTAATGAACTGAATTTAAATGTGGACTTTTCCACCTCAAGTAAATAGCCCTTCTTTAATAAGTATGGATCAGGATATGGGAGACTGAGCCTTATCCCATCCTCAATCTACAGAGAGTGAGTTATATTATGAATTCACTCACAGATAAGTGTTTTTCCTTAGTGGCAAATCCATTTTGCGTGGCTGAACCACCACTTATCTGGCGCAAGGAATCTATCTTGCTTCTGGTTCGGAAACTATTTAAATCTTGGCGTCATTCTGGAAACGACTCACGTAGCCAGAAGAGGAACAGCAAAGATAATTCCTCAACTTTTTTATATATATATCTGCATTGTTTACCGAGGGAATTTCTCAAGAGTATGGGTTGTGAAATGTATTATAACCTGGCAGTACTAGCTGATCTGAGAGTTGCTTCAGGATCATAACCCGTTGATTATTATGGGCTGGAAAGAATGATGCACCTTGGTGTGACCAGAGGGTCCATCCGGCACACTACACTCAGGGGAAAGGCAAGATGGACATACAATCAGACTACGACTGGCACCATTAGTATTGGAACTCTGTGCTGGGTGCTGAGGATAAGGATGGAGCGCATATAGGAATGCTTTGAGTGCTGTGATGTCAATTCTTAAACCCAGTTGATCCAACAGGGCGGAGCCATCACCCAACCTACCAGCATTCAGGTACCTCCTCCTTTTACTTTGTTTCAATGACCTTATCAAAATGTTGGAGGTGACAAGGGGTATCGCACCAACTAGAAGACAGCTGTTGCTACTTCAACACTATCAAATGCCTCCACGCCAAGGTTTGGCCACTATAGACTGCCACCAGCTGCTACCTACACCGTGCCATACCAAGTGACATTAGATTTCTTCAAACCTCAATTGGGATAAACTTATGTGTGTCCAAAAGTACCTTCACCCTATCACATCATTAAAGCAGTAATGTTCTTTAGCAGTGACTTTTGGCAGTCCAGGGGTCATTCTTGGCTGACTGAGACATTATTTATGTCGTACTCTTCTATATGTCATTCTTCTGTGTCAGTCCATTGAGATTTCTTATATTGTATGGAACTTATTACATCCTGCATTGTTATCTTGAAACCAATTGTCTTGGTGTCTGATATTTCTCAGTTCACTTTAGTTAGGTCTGTGTGCGTATTGTTATTCAATCAAATTTCTTGTGTACTGTGTTTTTGACTGATTCTATCCAGTCTGGGGGCAATCAAGGGGTGAGGAAGCCTGGCCAAGTTGTGCACAGAAATATCTGTGGTGCCCAGGCTTGAGTTACCTCATCCCTGGAGCGGTGTTGGATGGTTTTTGTAGCTGCAGAGTACCACCTAGACCAATACGAGCCACCATCACAACATTGTACCGTTTCAATGTGTCTTATTTTATGACCCTGATTTAGACATGTGTTAAAACTGTCCTATGACAGTATTTACGGCTTTGGATATTCCATCGATCTGTTCGCTTGTGTAGTTGACCTTTGGCTTTGCTTCCATTATGTCTAAGTGGCATCTTTTGGAGATCCAAATTGTTGACATTCTAGGCAGTAGGCAGGTATGCTAAATTCTCTGTGTAACGGTTGAAACGAGGACTACAAATGTCCCAGCAGATCATAGGAGAAGTGCCGATCTAAAGAGATGCATAATGACTGCAGAAAAGACTTGACAAGGCTGTATAACACATAGCCATTGACAGTAAAAGGTAACAACACAGGCTGTAGTCTGTAAAACATTTTATTTGTTGTCCGCCTGTTCTAGCACATGAGTGTGATCCATTCATGCTCCACACTCAATTGCAGCAGTCATCTCAAGTTTCTCCGTGCTCACTTCACCCAGTCGGAGTTGTTTGGCATATCTTCTTTCTTTGGCCGTGCAACTGGTTTCTGCATGCTTGTCCTTGTTTAATACTCATGTCCAGCAGGTGCTTAATCGTTGTCTCCATTGTCTCAGCTTCTCTGAAATGCAGTGCTTTCAGATATCTGCCCTGTCCATACTCTTCTTCCTTACTGACTACTCGACAACCAGTATGTCAGCTCATTTCTTTTCACCCTGGTCGTCTTGGGTGTGTACAGCCAACATGGTTTCTTGAGGCGGATCTTCTGGATGCAGCCGCCCATTCTTGTCTCTGAATTATGCAAAGAAATGTCCTATAGAAACTGCGAGAAGATCAACTTCATTGCACAGTGTGTCACCCCATTTTGCTCCGTCCTTCCCTGCGGAACACCCGCAGAGCGTGCCGCACTAAGCATGAACTCTATGGCTTCGGCAAGGATCTTCGGAAAAACTTCACTGGTGGTGAACGAGACGCGTCTGTGAAATGAAATTGCGACTTTCAGAACATGGGGCAAATGGCTTGACCCCTTCATAGCGGAAGAGACCACCATCAACGCCCACCCCCGCCCCTCCCCTATCCCTAACGAGCATGTCATACATAAAAGGTGACTGGTGAGGTTTTGAGTTTTGACGAAATTTGATCTTCCAATTTATTGCCAGGCATATTTCTCTGTATCTCATCAGACGTGTCAACTGCTCTTTTAAGGGCAAACACAGAAAAGAACGCCATAATATGTCCAGCTGACATACAGGCAAACTTTATACGACCGTTAACATACGTGATTAGATATCAAAACAGACGAGTAGCAATCTTTCTGCTTCTACCGTAAAAGCAAAACACATCAAGTGATGGAAATCCATTGCTTACAAAACTCACCATGGAGACAATACTTAACTGAGTCAGATTCAAAAGGGGAAATTGTCATCCAGTACTTGGTGACCCCGTTGCTACCGCCTTATCTACTCTTTGGCAGCTCAGTGTCATTCTTATAAAAGTCATCCATAGCCCTGTTTTAAGAGTGTGACACTTCCACTATTCACTTAAACCTGTTTCAGGGACATACAGAATCCCAGATTTCGGATTACTTTTTGACCATTGGGGGACCTAATAATACTTACAGTCGAACGAGGCGTACCTGGATCTGTATAAATATGATTCTATCCTTGTGATGTTAATTATGGGGGGACAAACTGCAAGCAAGTGACTAATAGAATCAGCTTGTAACTGTTGGTAACTGCTGTGGTAGCTTTTTCTTGGTGTTTATTTTAGATATCATCTTGAATCAGACATGGCCACAAATGCTCCGATCTGTTCCTGAGTATGTCTCCAAGTACTTTTAGGTAAGAACTCCCGTTCTGTTCTAGTCAGTGTAACGACGGGTGACTCCCGCATGGTTTTCCCGCGGCTCCAGCTGGTACACCCAGGGTATGATTTATTCGATTAAAAAAAATTGTTCACGAAACTGAAAGCCTCAGTGTTTAGTCTTTCGTATGGAATTGATGATGTCTTTCCTGTCCGTAGATGGTCCTTGTTTATAGTCACAATGCCAACCAGAGCGTCAGCTCTCTCATTGCCTTTCACACCAGCATGACACTGGGCCCCCCAAAAAAATAGAGGTGATATTTCCAAACGCTGCTTCTGATCCAGATGGCAATTTATTTCGGTACTTTAAAATGAAC